TACGATGATCATAATGATGCTTTGTAATACATACCCCATTTTACAGGCGCCAACTCGCGAAAGCCCATAAAATTTTGCAATGGTAAAGTATTGGAAGAATTTTTCGTGGGTCAAAGGTCGGGAAAAAGTCCATCTCACAAAAAGAAATCAAATTATTGTATGTCTAAATTATCCTCTCGCAAATGCAATGTGCGGGCCACCTAACATAGTAGTTATGTTCTAGTTTCGCCATACTGACTACAGGGTAATGAAAAAACAAACAATAACCTCACACCACTTACTTTCACAAATATTAGAACACCAAAACTGTTGTTTCCCAACCATTGATGGGGCGCCATCGGTGGTTATTCCCGAAAGTTTCGCTAAAGACAAGCCAAGACGCTTGATCATTTTTATCACAACTCCTGATAGTCGTACTCATAATAGGGACAATGGCTTTAAGCTCTCCGGTAATTTCAAATCATCATTAACTCCCCACAAGAAGACCGCCAACTGAGTCTCCAACTGAGCAGTAAACTTGATGTCAGTGCTTTCATCAAGCGCCAAGGAATACGGTGAAAATTATCCCGCTTTCGCAATTAAAGTTTGCAATTATTGATATATATTTCAATATTAAAATACTTCTCTTTCCAATCACATTGAAAGGCACGAATATATTTATGGAAAGTGCGAGCTTTTTTGTAGGTTTGCTTGACGTTTTTTCCAACAAATATTTTGTTCGATAATACCCAAACTTTGTATTGTGTACGCAGTGCGGGACAGTCTGCTTGTGATTAGTCGAAACAATGAAATCAGTGGATTGATGAAACGCAGGCCGAACATTGTGGGTAAAAACACCATGACATCAAATGAAAATTGCACTCAAAACGACCTAACAACTACGATGACATCAATACAACTACTGCACTCCAGTTTATTAATTTCAAGCAACGACTAACATACCGATTTCAAGCCATTGATTAGTTTTTAAAGAAAATCTTTCCCTGAAAATAGTTAATGTTTTTAAAGGATAGCGTAAGCCGCCGGAAGAATAGTTGAGAGACTTTTGCAGGTTTTAGTAAGTTTTTTGGTAGTTTTTGCATGGGTTAGCTTGATAAATTACAGATACTGATTTATGTGTTTGCACAATAAAAGTGTTTCCTGGCAACAAATCGTACAATCACAAAACACGTAATAATATTTGATTTGGCCTATAGTTTGCTAGTGATTTCGGTGTTGAAAATTTCCCGCTTAACATAAATATAAGTTTTTAACTCATATGTTTGAGCATAGCTCTCTTGTTGGACACGGAGGGTAGAGTCAGAGTTATTTTATTTGTCACTCCGAATAAAGAAAACATTCAACAATAAAGTGTATGTAATAAATACAGTATCAAAATGACAGGTGATGTGAGGGACGGATTGTTCCGTCATCTAGTCTACAGCACCTTTTTAAAAATAAGAAAAATAAAATAAACAAATAAAAAGAGAAGCAACAGGATATCACAATAGAATTGAATAGATTTTCGGTTGCTCATTGGCGTACACTAGTGGTGTCAGTATCAAACCTCTAATATAGCATTATGGGAAATCGACAAATTCAAACCACGTGATTGACGGGGAAAACCCGAGTCTTGTTAACAAAACAAACATCCTCCGAAGCAAATGACAATTGAAACATCCTCCGAAGCAAATGACAATTAACAATATTAATAAATTTAATATCATTGGTTTACAAATCAGTTACCGGTACCGGTACGATATGGCTGTATTAACATCATAGCCAAAAACATTGCATACAAGTTATAACGTTAATAGCTGTTTAATACCTATGAATCGTTTTGTTATTAATTAATCAATCAAATCGTTTTTCATTAGCATTCCGGTAAAGTATAGTAAAATGAAAGCAAGAAAGATCACAAAATATATATTTGTACCGAATGGACAGAATAAGCCTCCCCCCTACGGATATGTTGTTCTTGTTCTTTATGTTGGAATTTTCCCCTCCCATCGTTATGAAAAAATTGCTCTTTTCAATTACTGGACCAATTGCTTTGAAATTTTCAGTGACTCAAATCTGTTAGTATTTCAATTCACGTTGAAACTGAATTACGTAGAATGGATCATCGTCATAGGACTAGAAAAGCTAGGACAGTCCCTGTCCGGTACCCTGATACACTATCTGTGCCAGTGAGTTACCGCATACGATTATCGGAGAATTGATAACAATTGATTGTTATTTTTGTGGAGATGCAAAGCCGCGGGTGCAATCTATATGCGAATGCTAAAATCGATGGGTGGAAATGTATGAGTGCAAATGTCCGTGGGTACAAATGTCGGTAGGTGCAAAAGTAGGCAGGTGCAAATGTATGTGCTGCCACGTCCTAAGGAAATGATGTCACTTACTTGGTAGACATATTCTCCAAATTGAATGAACTTACCTATACAGTGAGGCATAATCAACTTGATAAAACTTTATAAAAGTGGAATCGGCATCGTCTGAGATCAATATTGAGCTCGTGGTGTTGTATTCCATTACCACTCCAGCTTTTTTTACTCAAACATATTTTCAGGCATATCTACAAGCTACAATACAATTTTATTCCGATCGTCTAATACAGTATACCATGTCATAGAAAAAACTATTACATAACAGCACAGGCGACCGAAATATCGGGAAAATACAAAATCAAGAAAGGGTACTGTATTATCTTACTGAAGAGAATAAAGTCATAAACAGAATACATGAACACGAGAATTATGTGACTGTGAGTGTGCTGAAATGCGCATCATCCTAATAACAACCAAGTGATCCGCTGCGTTTTTGCTTAGTGAATAACTAAACTCATGATAGAGAACAACAAACATAAAAACTAGTTTCGAGGGTTGGGCGTTATTTAACAAATCATTGCAGTTTTAACTAAATTTATATAACATGGCATTCCACTGTTCGACCTCTATGAACAGTTTCATTTTGAGTTTGTAACCGAGATCCTGATACTAAGTTCGATTTGTTATCGCGGATTTTATTCGTCATTATTGTATTTAAAACAGACTCTCTTAGTGAATTTTCAGTTTTATTCTCTGATTCCCAATTGTTACGCTTCATTGCGTCTAGGGATGTACGTTTCGAATAATTTATTCTCGAATCAAAATGTTCCCATTCGAATATTTACGAATCGGAATCCATTTGGTATAATATCATACCATCGTTAATTTTTTTTAAATTTGGAATGGATACATGATAAATGAACTGAAGAATGAAAAAAGTTAGTAGAAATATAGCCTACATTCAATGAATGCATCAACTATTTAATATATTAATGCCGAAAAAATGTGTTCGTTGTTACATGGAACTACACTCAGTTTTATATTTGCTTTTTATTACATGAATTTTTGTTTACAACTGACGTATAATGATTGTTTTCATCTATTATTGACCTACAAGATTTATCCAAATTATAAACGCTAGTTAAATGTAGTTATAATGATATTGTTATATTGATACATCAAATAGGGTTATGTAATGTTTTAAATCGTTGAACTGTGTAAACAGGTCAATTGTGATGTCCTACGACAAGTTGGGTTGTAAGAACAAACAAACAATATTGCACCATATTGAGAGTTATACTGAAATAAAAATAGTTGTTAGTACATTTAAATGAGTGGTTCAAAATTTTAAGTCTAAAGATTGATCATGACACATATAAACAAGTCTATTATAAACTCGCATAACACTCCCAAATTGAGCATGAAAGTTTCTTGAAATCTCGGGGATTTGCGCGCAAATGATTTACGGTCTGCTTTAGTTAAAAAGTGGTCTTGGAAGATTGTGGTTTTGTAAAAGCAAACCGTGATTTTTTATTTTGTTCACTTTATTATTAGTTTTTTCTCTATTTACTGCTGTTTAATTCTAATCATTATACCTGCCTAGACTAGGGCTTCGACGAAAATGACGTCTCGAATTGTCGAGCGTGAAACAACGAGTGTGGCTCGCTTTGTTAAATCGAACCCACTGACACTATGGCGATGCGCTGGTACGAGCCAATGTTTATTCAGTCGTTTCGACTCGCCAGTTGCTAGGTTACTATTCAAGCTAACAAGTACTCGTTTTGCCTGTTACAGTATTAGCAGGGCTCAGTCAAATGTAAACTGTGTCTAAAAAGTCATGTTAGAAATGTTCCCACATAAATTGTACATTGTTGTCAGTATTAGGTAAATGTCCATAGGTGTTCAGTGCAGATGCCAAGTATTTATTACTGCAATAGTCTATATTGAACACATATATATAGCCTAGTTTCTAATTTAAACTCAGAAAGCTGGGCTTCCATAGTTTCTATCGCTTTAGATATGGTTCCTGGAACACACTCGCACAGTTTGAAAGTGTTTCCTAAGAACATAGTACTGAAATAGAAGTTTCCTCCATGACGAACTAGGTGGTGATCTTGGTGACATGTTAGAAGGGCTGTGTTAATAATATTAGTACCAACATAACAATGTTGTAGTCACACATCCAAATATAAGTTACGGGATACAAATATGCTAATTTTTCTTTTCGCTCATTTTATTTTAACCTAAAATGTATAAATTTCCACAGCCAATAGCTCACATTGTGTAACATCATTAATACCAAACGTAAGTATATTTTAGGGCTATTCGCGTGGCGCTGCAAATAAGGAACACAAATACCGGCCATATACAAAGCTTTGACCTTATCAATAATCAGTAGTTTATTTTCCACCATACTGAAAATACACATTGTGCATACAGAATTAGGTGAAAAAAACACATTTCAGATGCGACAAACCAGCACTTGTTATTGAGCAGTGATACCTTAAACATTTTTTGTATCAATCTTTGAGTACGGTTGTTGGTTATTATTAATTAACAAAACGATTTAATATTCGTAACGGGGCAACACATAGTATTAATTTACGATTATTGAATGCTAAAAAATTGAATCCAAGCCAAGCTGTACATTTTAGAGCACTTGAGTTGGTTGGTATACAAAGTGAAGAAATATTTTCCTTTAAAGGACGCAAAGAGTTATTTTAGACACTTCTGCCTACAAATGTAAACTGTATTCGAATTCACAGTATTTAGATGTAGATAAAATGGAAGACTCAAAAGTTACTGAGAAAAACTGTATGAAAACCTCTGAAGCGTACAAAGTTGACGATGACCTGCCGCTACGATTTCTTCAACCCGACGTAGTCAAAGGTTATAGGTACATATACATATATATACCAAACATCAAATGAAACCACTGTGATCTGGCCTCAAGAAAGTTATATATATTCTTTTTTTCGTAAAAAAATTTGCTTTAAAATATCAATGGAAAGTGGCGCGAATTATTTTAATTGAGTATAGATATGTTGTCGATTGCATGGTTCAAACAGGCATTTTATCCTGACCGGAATATTCTATCAGTAAAAATTATTGCTTAAAATTACTGCTAATCATAATGGAAGCAACCTAATCCTACTCTCCGTTTAGTTAACATTGACCGGTTTTGAATAACTAATTAACCATTGTTGTATTTTACTGCTGAGATTCTTCATTCATTTATATTATTGAATTTTCAGAACTAAAGAGCCTCACCCGATATATCGCAGTACCAACATGATTTATGGTTCGAAGAGCCCGACGGTTCACGAAGTACCGGTCACATATCAACCTCGATCGCAAAGATTTTCGACACATCTTGGAGTTTGTGGAATGTACAGAAATCATTCACTGAATACATACGTTGAGAAAAGTGTCGTCACTCAGCCTGATAATGCCGGACTAACCTCTGTTGATCGATTAAACTTTCATAAAAGTTATACTCCTAATCCCAATGTCAGCTAACTATAAAAGTTGAGAATTTCAATGAAAAAAAAACTATTTGCCATTCCGCATGTGTACGCATTTATTTTTATCGCAACTATTCTTGAGATTATATCGTGGATTTTGCTTGCGTGCTCAGTCCATCAGCTCATAACAAATAAATAAAATTTAAGATATTTTAATTAAGAGTTTGCTTATCAATTGTTTTTTGTACCATCACGTGCGCAATTATTCTATAAATGTTATTACTGCATTAAAATTATACGATCAATAGTCACACACTCATTGAGGTGTTTTAGAGTTTTTTATACACCTCAATAATTGACACAGTGTTTCTTGGAGTGTAATATGGTCTTTAATATTTATCATGCCATATTAGGGAATTGGGAGGTTATACCCAAATTTTTCATGTTTTCAGTCTCGTAACTCTTTGTATCGTATTATTGTAAGGTATATATTATGTGCTCGTAACTTTATAATTATAAATTATCAACTAGACTAGACACAGTGAGTTGTATTGTAAATTGGGGATAACTTTCATTGTTTCTGTCATATTCATCTAGGGGAGGAAGAATGTCGAAAAGTCGATCTGATCACATTTTGGATCACGGTTCCTCGTCGGGACTCAATTGCGGTTAGGTATAAAAATAGTTGATTGGGCCAGCGAATATTCATTCCAGCAGAGTGGTTAGATCACCACGGCGCGCCATCCGTGGAGTCGCATATAGTCAATTACTTGCAGTGGGCAGAAGTCCACCATACACGGTCACAATGGATTTAGGTTTCAGAATTTGGAATCAAAATCAATTCAAAGCAATTTCAGAAGAAAGAAAGTCTTGATTCTATTAAAGATAACATGAGGCGATTGATTACGTACAAATTTCAATTTAATGATAACAACATCATTGCATTATCACTTTTAAAAACATAGGTCTGCGATGCTTCCCTCGTTATCATTTGTTTTCCTTATAATCATGGCGCACAGTGATTTCCCTACACCCCCCCTATAGGGGGTGAACACCCCCTCTAAAATTTCAACCCCCCTTCCCCCCCCCCCCCCTAATTTTGAGGTGAGATTTCACACTGTAATTTCCTAACTCAAGTATAATTGTATTCAAATATAACGCCTATGGCATATTCATCAGTGTAGATGAGGGGTTCCAAACCGCAGTCTGCGGGCCAATTACGGCTCGCGTGACGATTTAAAATGGCCCGCCGAACTTGAGTGAAATAGTTTAACCCTTCATGTGGTACCTTTTGAGTTTTAGATACCGGCTATTGTTACATCATTATCACAGTTTAAGGACGTTTATTTCGTAACAATTGAATTATATCGGTATCTTATGTATACGTATGGGTATTAGGATTACACACTGCAGTATTTTAGATATCAGCCGTATATTAGGAAAGCTTAATAATGTCACAAAACGAAAACTAGGCACCGAAAACAGACGTTTTTTAGATGAATGACAGCGTTTTTATTTTTTTATTGAAAAGAATCAAATTTCAGCGATTTGTCTTCTCACCAACAAAATATTTCAGTTCTGAAGGAATACAACATTATGCGCCATTATGATCAGCTGACGCGCGTATTTCAAAATTTAATTCATTGCATAATTCATACAAAAGTCAAACAAACATGTTCAAAAAAATGTGAAATGTGTAACAAAACAAGCCATAAGTAGTAGCCATTCATACAATGCCAGATGAGCTAGTAACTTCATTAGTCACTATCAGTTGCAAATTACTTGTTGAAACCTAGTAGTATATAGTTACGGTTGGAAGCCTTGCTTTATTATCTATTTCCCGGGAGTTCTATCAGCTAAATATTATAATTATTGATTTCATTACATAACAAACTGCGATGCTAGGTGTATCTAAAATCAAGCTCAGAGCCTATTTTGGTGTCTATTTCTCAAAATTTTCTCAGGGCGCTTAGCGCTCCCTGAACCCCAGCCGTGCCGTCCCGCACTTTTCCTCGCTGCCCTTTTCTGGCCCTACAATTTTATCATGCTGTGGATTTTGGCTCGCCGTCAATCAACTTGGGGGGCCCCTCTTGTACATCGTTTCTTAAATACATACCATTTTTTAAGAATACAAATAGCCTAGTTTTATCTCAAATAGCAAATTATTTACCACCCCCTAAATTTCGAAACACCCCCATAAATGGAAAAGCTGGGAAACATACTGATTGCGCAAGAGATACTGACGCATATTTCACTGGCGTTGATCATAATTTGTTTGCTCAACTGATTATGAAAACAGTTCTTATCACTTATTTTATAGCCTGTTTTGCTAATTATGAAATCGCAATAAACTTATATACAACCTACAACAAGATATCATGAAGGTTGTACCTATGGGAATGTTAAATAGGGCAAATATTAATATGTATATTTATATCAAATTAATTAATTGGATGTAAATGTAATGTGAAGTTTTGTATATTTTAAAGCAAGGGAATGAATGTGATACTGATTAATATTGATCCCCATAAATAAGGTGATATATCTTTTTTTCATTACAAAATTTTTGAGAAATTGGGTTTGCATAACTTTTGCTTTTAAAATGAATTATGTGTAATATATAAATAGTACATATATAAAAGGGAAACATGAAACAATTTAAAGCAAAATTATTGTTTCTTTTACTGTCATTCTGATTTTCCTTTCCAGAAAAAAAAAACAAGAAATGAGGGATATTTCAGGAAATGGTCAAGGTGTATAATGTGAAAGAGCCTGAATCTGTTAGTTACATATTCATGAATCCTGGAAATTTTGATTATGTTTTTGACTATTAAAAAACACTCGGGAAGAAAATAATGCCAGGATAATTGCAAATCTCCCCCTCTAACTGCACTAAGCAGAATTAAAAACCAATGCACGTCGTTCACAAGCGGGATTTCCAGAAACATAAAATATACATATTGGCAACAGCACCAATGATAACCTTGTCTCTAGTCTACTTTTTTACACTCAACCAATGAGATGCCATTGACCAAAGCTACATGTCATATATTCAAGCTTATTTCGCTACCCTACGATGGTACAACCGATTTACCCACACTTAAATAAATAAACACTCCCTGACACAAGTTTTCAAAACTGAACATCCCTTTACTCCAATTAAACATCGTCAATAGATGTTGAACATGTTTTATTAACAAACAAGATCACAATTCTAACGATTGGATTTTGCAACACGTTCCAATTCATCCTTCTTCTTGATGGCATACGAATTCGATGATCCCTGCGGAAGAATTGAAATCGATAAATTAAAAACTACAAAAAAATTGTTAGTTATAACGGTCAATCAGATAGTTATGGGTCTGAATAACAAATCACAATAAACATATTACAGGGTAATTTTCAAACACTAGTACATAGAAATTAACAGAATGCCAAAAATTCATACTGTACCCCTCCAAATTGATGATTCCAAGAAGAACATGTCACAAAGGTGCAAGTCAAAGAATTATAGTATAGTATATTGCAAACATTTTTAATCAATAACAAATACAACATTCAGTAAAAAAGTATATCAAGAAATTGATATTACCTTTGCAGCATTAATAAGTTCATCTGCCAAACATTCAGCAATTGTTTTGATGTTACGGAAGGAAGCCTCTCTCGCACCCGTACATAAAAGCCAGATGGCTTGATTGACACGACGAAGAGGTGACACATCAACAGCCTGAATAAGTTACTTCCATAAGTATTTTGCTACAAAACTAATGAATTCAATAAATAACCAGTATAAAGAATTTGTGGTTCACAGTAGAAAATTTGATCATATACATAGTCTTAATTTCGCATTATGTAAATGGAAATATATACTGTGTGATTCTTGGTGACCATTTTTGGTGTCTGAATTATATAATTAAAAGTGAATCTAATGCTGGCAAAACAAAATGATCTTCAAAGTGCAGTAAGTTTAATAATAGTGGCGACTGGCGAAACTAACAGGTATTTGATTATATTTAAACAATACACGTAGGCTCTCGGATCACAATGAAATATAGCAAAACCCTGGACTGCACTGGCGGAACCCGATTAAAAGCAGTGCAGGGAGAGCGTCGAAAGAAATATCCACCTAAAATTTCGCAAACCTCTTGTATTTTACTCTTGCTTCATACAATTCACAAAAAATGTGTCATCACTGATCGCACTTTGATCACACAAGCATTGTACAAAATGAGCGTGCTTCGCTTACCTGTCTCCTGACTGTACCAGCACGTCCAATTCTAGTTGAATCTTCTCTTGGCCCACCGTTGATTATTGCATTGACAAGAACTTGGAGTGGGTTCTGCAAGGTAGTAAGTATATATGAAGGAATGTATGAAAAATAGAAGTTATACAAGACACGAAAATAGAGGTGTTTAGAATACAGATAAGTGAAAAGTTGACTTTTAACTACCGGTACTAATAAAACAAATTATGACCTGGTAACTATGAATAACTAGAATGCTAATAGATCAGAACCACACTTGTACGCTTTGAACAAAGATATCCTACCGTGTGTAGTAAAGAAAAAAAATTGAAAAGACCAACTTGAATTAATTATAATGTTAACAACAATTGATAATATTGAAGCCACTTCAATATACTATTTTATAGTGTTTCAGGTAGCTTCTTCAGCCAAAGTTATGAGAATATTTCATCTTTTAAATATATATGTGCTCGGGCAAGAATTTAAAAACTTAATGGTGTATTGTCACACAAAATAATAGGTTTATAAAGCAGTGGTTTAGAAGACAACCAAACTTTCCGAATCAAACCAAGTGTATATTATGGACAAAATTATTTACCTCCGATGTCAATAGATGAATGATTTCGAATGCATGTTTCACAATGCGTACTGTAAGGAGCTTCTTTCCATTGTTTCTTCCATGCATCATCATTGAATTGACCAAACGCTCAACAATTGGGCATTGTGCCTTTCGAAATCTTTTCACCTGGTACCTACCAGAACTGTGGGGAAGATATTTGGAATACTTGTCCTTTACAGGAAGGTAATCCTAAAAAAAAATGTTTTCAAAAATTTATATAAGCTAAAAGGAACAAATTGGACATAAAACTCAATAATACGAACATGAATTAAAATATAAAAAGTAAAAAAAAGCTGAAACTTTGTACATGGTCCTAGCAATAAATCTTTAAGCCATTTTCAGAGTTACGTCCCTATGTGTTAAAGCGGGGATTCCTTCGATTTTTTTTCATTAGTTTAATATTTTTCCAAAAGCAATATTGCACCACTCCCAATTTTTAAAAACATGATTTGCGTCCATTACAGTACTTTCTATCATTACTATTTCGCTCTGCTTGCAGAATTTTACACTGTATTCAGTATTTAGTAAGAAGGATGTCAATGTGGTAGTCAACGTTATATGTAATCTATTTAAACTGAACATCAATAATATTGCTTTTATAAAGCCACAAATTCTCACGATAGGATTTTCATATTAATCTAGGGTGAGTGGAATAACTATGAGGCAGTTTAATCTTGTGGCAAACCACGAAATTGAAGGTTTTCTAATGCTCCGCATGATTCGCCGCCCCCAAGCCTTCCTTGTTCAGTTGTGTATGACACTATTTTAATAGTCTCATCAAAGTCTGGTATCAAAGCTATGAAATGTACTGAATGTATGGCTACAAACTGCAGAACTGGCAAATCCTGAAATTGGTCGTTTAACAGAAAATAACGTGTCAGAGTTTTATGCATTTCTATGTTAACCGCTGCACATAGCAAATTTGTTCAAGTGCAGAAGTGGGTCTGGTATAGTTTAGTACCACAAGTACTTCCTCTGGGCGTATCATAACAAATTTTGCACATGTTATTTCTAACCCCCACCTGACTATGTCATCCAAAAATAACGTCACAATCACGTCATAGAGCTCGCCAAAGTTTAGCTATGATCGCCCGAAACGGCATCTGCGCTGACAATAACGAACTCACTAATGCCAGCGGTCTCTCCCATAACTGCATAACGGGATCGTTGCGACCAGGAAACGAGAGAAATAGCTTGCTCGATTTCGTGTGATCGTCTGTGGGTTTTGAACGACCATCCATACATTTTGGAGGTCTTTATTGCGCCACTGTGACGTAGTCAGGTGGGGGTTAGGAATGACATATGCAAAACTTGTTAAGCCAGGCCAAATAGAAGTCCATGTGGTACTAAACTATACCAGACCCCAGAAGTGCACTGCAAGTGCAAATTTTAAAAATATCAATGGTGTAAAAATTAGTAGTCTATTGCTAGTTCAGATTTAACAGTGCTGAAAGTTTAGTTAGAATAAGATATACAATTCATGCCAATAATGCGTGCATGCTTGGTGACGTGGTCAGGTGGGGGTTGGGAATGACATATGTAAAAATTGTTGATACCACTGTTGACTGTCAAGCTATACCAGACCCAATTTTTGGAGTTACAGTATCACAAACCTCTGAACCATCGGAGCATCTGCAGACCGAATATTTACAAAATTTGTTAAAAAATATAACTTTACCGTGAGTGATATATCGTTAATTTGAACATCACTGGTGGTCCACCGTCCGAAAAGTTTGATTTCAGGCGCATCAGCCACAATAGCTTCTTCAGCGAGTTCCTCGGACGCCATCTGTAAATATATAAATAGATGTTATAGTAAAAATATCAGCATAAATAAAATATTATCAATTAACATAGTTTTGTAAAGGAGATTAGATTAATACTGTATTTTAACACTGGAAATGGCACCCACGTTTTCGACTGAATCAGAAGCAAAAGACCGACGAGGTCACTCACTCCACTTACTTGGGTTAATCGCCACTGTCGGCGCTATATGCCTATATATCTTCGTGTGCTGCATGTGCCCCAACGACTAACGTCTACATATGCATATGATTGGTATTTGCGTAAATATGCCAAATTCAGAAGCATAAACCAAGTGCTTAGTCTTTATGCTCAATATGCTACTTTAATTTGCGTTAGCGATGATACCACTAAGAGAAATGAGAAAATCTTTATACACAAAGGAAAATATGGGACGAATTCAAAGAAGAGAGAGAGATAGAGACTTATGTTTTCGTCAACCAAAAAAATAAATAAGTCATCCTAATAATAAAAATAATAACAAGTAATAAATTAGTTTGGTGGAGATAGAAGGGAGTGATAGGACCAGGCGGTCATCAAAGTCAACTCCCCCCTGCACGCTATTAAGTTTAAGATTCACAGTTTCAGACAACGACTGATGACTAAATATTAAGGTTTTTTCGATGTGCGTATTGTGACACAATTACATGTTATTTTTGCATTATTGTTTTGTGTGGCAGTGCTGGAAGCTCACTCACTCATTCGTATGCTATATCAAGTTTTCCTGAACCTTGAATTCAGTCATATATGTGTTTATGGCAATGCATCAATATTTCTCGGTTTAGTTGAAACAAAATTTTTATGTAACTTTCTGTATTTACACTAATATTGCACGACAACACAACCGCAAAAATTCTATTAATCTTTCTAGTTCTTTTAAAGTGTTGCCCTGTTCTTCTTCTGATCAGTTTTTGCATAATTGTATCGATTTAATTAAAGTTATTGCCCGAATTTTATCGTGTATGTTTATTTTATTGCGTTGTTTGATTGTTTTTGTTTGACGGGGGCGTATTTTTACGTTTTTAACTTTGTCTTTAAAAGTGACCAAAATAAAATTGATTGATTGAAGGTAGTACATTTTAGAGTTTAAAATAATATTCACAAAATGGAAGAATAAAATTGGGGAAGGGAATGCTAGAGTAAATCATATTTATTTGTGTATGTGGAGTGGGGTTTCAAAATTTAAAGAGCTTCCAAAGGGTTTCCGCATTTAGACAGGGATTTCACAGATAATTACACTGAACGAATTCAAATAATTTATGTATGTATGTTTATTCGTCTCGTAATAGTGATACATAAATAAATGAACAATTATTATTATTTAAGACGGGATGCATGCACAAGACCTACTGGCCTAAAACACAAATGTGCGGCATGCATCCCTTTTGACAAATATGAAACAAAGAACATTAGATTAAATAGGTATAATGTGGTCCCTTATATGAACAATTGTGCAAGGTGGGGCGGGCGATAGGTCGGTTGGTGTGGTGAAAGTCAGAAAGTGGTAAGGGAGGAGTATACAAAACTGTTTATACAGGGGAGTTTATAAGACAAGACAATATATATATAAATAGAGCCAACACAACACCAAATACACATCCTACATAATAATGAAATCAAAATTTAGGAGTAAATACAGCACCTTTGAGTGGTGAGACCGTATAATTTGAATGGGCGAAGTATAAGAGATAAATTTGCGGTTCTTGTGCCTATATGGCATGCGTCACTCAAGGGTGCTAGTAGAGTCTTTGATAGTACCTATATATATGACTATTTCAGCAAACATGTGAACCATACAGATTTTGGTGAAATACTTCGCGTATCAAATTTCTAGGTCTTCTTGTTTAATTTATAAAGTCAAAGCCGAATGTGGTAAGAATTAAAGAAAAAAAAACTCAATGAAAAGCATTTCAACAAAACCTATCATGATTCCATTTTTGCCAGAAGAAAAGAAATGTATAAAAGTACTATTTATATAAGGCTAATACTTTATAAAAAGAAGCATTGTTTCCATGTCATGGGTTGCCCTAATTGTATTAGAATCACATTAGAATAATATAGTTTCCTGGGGTGAGGGAAGAGAGGAATATATTTGATTTTGTGCGATGACCTATATGAGAAAGAAAGGGCCCAGCATGCTACTTTGACAAAAAGAATAGTTTTCTATTGATGGCTGGATTCAAGTTACCGTATATGTGATTAATTAGCAGAAATGTTTCATTTCGTGTCATTGAAGATATAGCTAACGTGAATTTACTTTGACTTGCCAGGTTAAGAAAAACAATCAGTCTTTCGGGCAATGTCATCAAATTGGCAAGAGTAAGGCCTAACAAGCATTATTTCAGCGTAATTTTATAATTATAAATATTTTGTTTGCAGAGGAATGTCGAAGTAAGATATATGACAAGTAGCCTACATGACAAATAAAAAATGTAAACAAATATATATAATAGTGGTTCGAGTCTATATTCAATTCAAAGTCGCAGCAAATTTCGAAGTTCATGTTGCAAGGTTAGTTATAGTAATCCCAATTCCCAAGTCGAGACGCTGATATCCCAAGTCAAAACGTATACAGTATACTGACCTACAATAAAATGAATAAATCTGAGTCACATTGACACTAGGGCTTGAAATGTCCCTGGCAAAGGTTGTCCATTTCTTACTTTGATGATACAAAAGGAATTCTCAAAACTAGCACCAAGGAACATCAACGAGATGTTAAACAGAATGAAATTAGAAAAGTCGGCCCTCTCGAAACATGCCTTTTCATCAGATCACAGCATTGATTTGGGAAACGGCAGGGTATTAGAGAATGGAACCCATCACAGAAAAATATATACTATTTCTCGAATCATATCACATAGACAAAGAGAAGAATTTGATGAAGAAGACGTTTTTGTCCTGAACTTAAATACAATATTCAACTGCCATAGTCGGTTTATGCCGAGCTTGCTCTGCTATTTTTCTTTATCTAGGAGTGTTAACTGTATTGGTGAGAGATATACATTTCTAAACATTTGAGCAAGCAACTATTTCCATATACAGTACAGTCAATTTCTAATCATTAATTCACAAAAACCTTTAAATAGTTTTGTTTCGAATGAACAATTTGCTATTTTATTTCATAAATTGGGGACGGGGCAATTCTGAACTACTTCAGCATTTACTCAATCTTCTTTCTCAATCAATTTTCTTTTGTTACAAACCTCAACAATAGCAGATGCATCAATTTTCCCATTTGCGCATATTTTATCACGTGCCTCTCCTACGGACTTTGTGATATTATTCTGAAAAAGTTCAAAGTGAAAAGAAAAAAAATAATGGTCAAGCGAAACGACTGAAAGAAAAGTTCTCCAAGTGGATTCGTTCAGAATTACGTTGGAAAATATTAAATTATGTCGGCTTGCAAAAATAGAAATAAAAACAGTTATCAGTGGCAATATAGACTGTCTCTGATAGCTTTTCAAAGCTCATCATAAACTATCACAATTTAAAAAAAAAGTATATATATACTATTTTCATTTCCATTTTTCATTCATTTTCTAATCCCACTCGATCTTTTATTTTGTAATTTATGTTCAAAAAACTTTAAACAATGGGGAAATTATTTTGGAACAGCTATCTGACTTTCTTTACAACGCATTTTATTTCTTCACGTAATTTTTGCAATAATTTTGCTCCGAATAAAAATTTTCAAACTCACGTTTATAATAATTTCTCCGTATTTTGCAGATACAACATGATTTTTCATAGTCTAGAAAGAATCATTTTCTGAATCATCATGACTGACTGAACAAATTCTTATTCTTCTTCGCCTAGCGTTGAATTGTTAATTTAACCAAAGGTATAGTTTGTTGAATTTCCGTGTTTGGTCAGAGCAGAATCAGCATTATCTTCATCCTCAATGATGTTTGATTTTGTAGATATTCCAGAATAGTTGAAAGTTCCATTTCTGAAACAAGATCATTTTTATGCCTATCATCTGTGCTTTGTTTTTGTTTCTCAATGAAAAAAATTTCTGGTTGTTTATGATCGGATGTATTCGCACAGTCTCCTTTATTTTTCTCCGACCATTTAGACCAGGCCTGCACAACATACGGCCCGCGGGCCGCATGCGGCCCGCTTAATCATTCTGTGCGGCCCGCAGGTTATTTGGAAACACGCCACTTCTCGGGTCTAACAATCAAAGCCGGCATTGTTATGCAAGCGCGCCGCTACTCCGATCATATTCGAAATCGTGAGATTTAGGTTTTGCACTAGTTTCAATAAATATCAAACTTTGTGTGAAATTGGTGTGCCCTTAGCGACCTCTAAAATTCGTTGCTCGACCCCTCGCCCCCCAGTTTGGGAAACCCTGATTTAGATATCTCAGTATTCAGACTGAATCACGCTTAAAACAATATCGGTATACAATCTCACACCCATTAGTGCATATTAGCAACCTATTAAAAATTTACATTATTTTTTACTAGCAGTTTATGAAACTGAAGTTTCTTTTTTGATCAAATTTAGAATTTAAAAAACAATTCCTTCATTTATGAATGGTGCAGAAATTCTGCAGATATTGCTATTTACTGTAAAATTTCAAATAAATTGGAGCAGATTTTGTAGAAAAATGTAATTTAACAGACAGAAATATCCAATAATGGTAGATATAACTAAATAAATTGTCATACATATATTTGGGACGTTTTTACAAAACTGAACCTGAGTAAAATATTTTCCTGCAGTCAGTTTTTTTACTGCAACACGCGATACCTAATTCTAATAAAAAAGAAATATTGAAAATGAAGGGTGGGTTTTCAAGGTAGATGAACCACATACATATTTGCCATCTCATATGCAAAAATACTGTACCTTGCTTTTACCAAAGAAAATAGGATTTTTCATATTTTTAAGCTCCCCAGTAATGAAAGTGTTTCATTAAATTTAACTGTTTCACAATATTATTTTGATTTGTAGTTCATCTTGTGAAATATGTATGTGGCAAGGTTTGCGGCCCGCCGGGCCTTCGGATCTATGCTTGCGGCCCTCGTGTTATTTGAGTTGTGCAGGCCTGATTTAGACTTTAGAGAAACGTTGAGATATCCCATTTATTTTGCCAGAATTACTTGAATCGCCAACAGCATTGACCTCATGTTCATTTATTAGCAGTTTAGTTTTTTTATGACTTGTTTTCATCAACAAAACTCACTGAATAACCTTTTCCGCCGATAACACTCGCAAATTTATCGGCAATTTTATGGCTGACTTGGGCACGTTTCAATGCTTGCAAACCTATTTGTCTCCGTAGAAATCTTTTTTTCCTCCGAATGACTAGAAATACTATTATTTTTAGAAAGTTGTCGAGAAATCTCGAGAGACGGAGTTGGGTCTATTTTTATCTGTACATCTAGTCTCAATACGTCTCGGTTCGACCACATTTTCAATAGACGCTGATCTCAATTCTGTATTGCCAGCAAGTATTTTTAATTCGCAACTGTTGTAGATATATATGGTGTGGCAAACCATTTCTATTTTAAACTTTTCTCATTTATTTACTATGTAATCTATCTAAAGTTTCTCCTCTCTTCTATAAACCATACCTGAGCTGTTGTTTGTCGTCCTGATTCTATAATCAGTTTTTATTTATTTGTTTTCATCGCCTGTTGTGCTGATTATGGGCACGAAAGCCGAAACGAAGCGCGCTAAGGGTTAGGAATAAGGTCACCACCTGGTTACCCAGCCTTACTCCACTCCATAAAAGTTCGATGTGAAAAACGAATCCCATAGAGCGCACAGAAATATTTGAAAAAATAAAAGTAACAGCCTTCTAGTGACACCAACAAGCGTTAATCAATGAAAATTTCAAAGCAATCGATCCAGTAGTTGAAAAGAAAAGTTTTTTTTTTCACAACAACAACATAATAACAAACCGATCCATAGGTCCACTTCGCATCCAATAATGACATGCCAGAAATAAATGGGATTTCAAGCAAACACCAAATCTTCAGTTTTCCATCACAAGCCATTCCTGGACTGACCACTCTATCCTTATCGCAATTGAAGGATAGTATATGTGCTGAGGAAAAAGTTTATAAAAGTTGGAAATAGGGTAGGTATGCACTTTGGACATTTATTAATAACATACCAGGTTACATGAAAGGAAAATTCAACGATAGCGTTGTTTATAACAGTAGAACTGTACAAAAATCAAAGAAGCGACTTCTCAGAAATGAATCCAACCTCAAGTTTGGCAGCAAAGATTTTTAATGTCCAAAGAATCCAAAATCAACTGTGATTAAAATAAAACTTCCTTTTTCAGCAGAAGCTACTGTATTATCAGTGAAAGTCCTTCAGGGAAGGAGCCTGACATATAAAGTATGCTGTATGCTGTAATGAAACCATTCCAACCTGTGTAACTTTGTGTACAGTAATATAAGATATTGTATCACACTCTACATTTATAAAGTTGTTGCCAAAAATGGTGTATAGATCATTCTAATAGAGTGGGAAGAGCAAGAAAAGAAGCCTTTTGTAAGAAAGCTAAATACAACAGAATATAGCACACTACATATGGGTAGACTATGCAAGTAAATATCATTAATTACGCAATAGATATATACAATAGTATGAAAAATAAAGATACACTACAAATGCACAAGGCAGTCACTGACATAAAACACGGCAACAACAAACTGCACACTATATTTAAATAAAAACGCCAAAATGTTTTGGTAATCTCATCTTACCTCTTATATATCAACTGCATAATTGAATCAGATTACCCGATTCACACCAAGCTTGTTCATATTGTCATTTCAATTAATATTTGTCCAAGACAAAGTTTCGAAAACTAAAACATTCGATTCATTTGGTCAGAGTTAGGTGTGTTGAATCATAAAACCTAATCCAAAAAAAACATTTACAGTTGATGAATAACATATTAGGCAAAGTATAGTCATTCCAGGAAGAAAATTGCAAAAATTTTCTAGCAATGAAGTTAAAATAGTTTGTGTTTTCCAAGCACAAGTGAGTAATCGAATAGGGCAGGCATCAGCACCATCAATTTCAACATTCGATATTGCTGATTTTTTAACATACTTGACTGGATTAAACTGGCTCCTCATTTACAATGGAATGCTGAGTTAAAACCAAAACATTGTTAGAAATTAGGATATTATCTTATTATAAGCAACACAAATGACGCCTAATAAATAACAAACGTACTATGAAGAAAAAAAGCCAATATAGCATATCCAATGCAGTAAAATAATCTACAGTCACAAACCACCATCATTGCAATGATATAAGAAATTCTCTTCAACTCTTGGCATATCAACGAGACATGTTCTATGCTTTTCATAAGGAAATTCTTCATTGAAATCACCAGTTGAATATTATTCTCAAAATAAAGAACTTGCTGGAATGAATGAGAAAATTTATATATGCTTCTGGACAGAAAAAGCAACAGATTATGAACCTTACAAGAATGATAGAATATTCTCCTCATTTTTATTTAAAGAAAAAATGTTCAACAAATTCTGAATATTTTCAGTTGAGGAAGGACAAAAAAAGTGAAGAAAACCATGCTATAATTTATTACTGTACAACCAAATATGATTATGAAAAAAAATTATAAATTTTTATACAAAATTATAAAAAGAATGTAAAGTTAATAAGTTTATTGACTTGAGTTTCTTGACAAATAACTGTGAGCTGTTTAGATATACTGCAATCATTAAGTTACTGACTTACATGTGTTATAAAAAGACTGATAGCTGTCAGTGATGAAGTGAAATATGTAAGTATGTTTGATATGTCTGACATAACAGGAATAAAATATTGAAACATATCTATATTCCCTATATCATTTGCAGATGATTACTGGTAGAAAAAAACTGTGGCCTGGTCTATTTACTCTAGACTGGACTTCAAATTTAATAGATTTCTGTAGATGTATAAACGCAAAATGACTTCTTATTTAATATAGAACTTTTTGTTATACATATTTTGTTTCTTATAAGTAAAGTCATAAATTATATCATAATATATATATGAATATACCAGAATTCCCAAAACATAAAATTTCATCCTGTTTGAGTTTATTATACAAAATGGGAATTGCATTGCAAAGATATATCTTCATTGAATAAAATGTTCAATTAAACTCACTGAGTATTTCCGGTTACAGCCATTAATGAGAAAACTAATAAACAGAGCAACTGATGTGATATATTAGTCAAGTGAAAAGTAAAACAAACAGCAAATATTAAAGCATAAAAGGATTTGCTTTATTGTCCTGCGTCATTTGAGGTTGCATACCCATACCCATGTTGGGTTGCATTGCTAAGCTATTATTTGCCATCATACCCCCAGGTGCCATCCCTGTCATACCATAAGTGGCCATCGGATTAGGAGACGGCACACCATATCCCGGCATTGCCATTGGATTCGTTTGCATTCCATAGGGGGGCATTGGGGTCACCATAGTTGGTGCTCCCATCAGAGATGCTGGAGGCACAGTAGTGCCTAGTGTGGGTCGAAGTGATGGACCCCCTCGTATTTGATTAATGCTTGGTTGAGGTGTTGGCTGGGGGAATTGATATGATGGTGCAGGGCCACGGGGCATTGCAGAACTAGTAAATGGATTGCTCACAGCTTTATTGGAGGGAGCAGGAGTGACAAGACTATCAAGATTCACGAGATCAGCTGCTTCTCCAAGGAAATCGTTGGCAGATTTTTTTGGCTTCAAATCAGTCGAATTTATGTTAACAGAAGCCAATCCAAGAGTGTCAAATTCATCCATAAGATTTTGTACTCCAGTTGTATTTTGCGTGGGCTGTATACTAGACGTTGCCAATGAAGCAAAAGGATCGAAACCATTACTTACAGCAGGCTGTGCAACTACTGTATTCGGTGAAGACCATGAATCGCCACCCTGCACCTAACGTAAAAGGTATATAATAGAATAGATATTAACAATTGTTTTACGACTTAGATTTCACATATACATTTATTCAAAGTAACCTGTATAAGAATAAATTAGGGATAGAGACTAGAGCAAGGATGCCCAACCCGCTACCCGTATGTGGCCCGCCAAGCTGTTCACTGTGGCCTGCACTATAAATCAGTTTATAAGCAGACTTTTCAAATTTATACTATTTTATATAGGCTAAACTTAAAGTATGTTTTCCCGATTTTGGTGTGAATAAATAGCATGTATCAAGTCTTGCGATGTGGTGGACATCAATGTTCATTTTTTTTTATTTCTCGCAATACTGCGCTGTGCAATCATTCACAGTGAATCGCTGAGAAAATCTTTTATAAAAATGAATTTTCAACCCAAATTAATTCCATTCTGATTATTTTCTCTCGCTCGTGTTGACTTTGATCCTCCTTATCATCACCGTAAAATCAAACAAGATAGATGCCCAAATATATGGACACAAATATCAAAACTAAGTAGTACTGGTATGCAATCTGTCACAGCAGACTACCACATTTCTAAATTGTATTTTTTTTTTCTATTGCATATTTGAAAACTGAGTTATGAAAAAAATTGGTAGCTTTATTTAAAAGCAGGTAAATTTTCCGGATGATAATTGATAACAAACTTCAATAGGTAAACCAAATAAATAGCAAAAAAAAACACAATTTCATTACCTTGATTTGTGGTTGTTGGTTGCCGCCACCCCATGGATCGATTGAATCAACAACAACCGGAGGCGTGACACCCCAGGGATCTTTTGGAATAGACTGAATCTCAGGTCTTGACATCTCTGGTGCGGGACCCCATGGATCAGCGGGTTGCTGAGGTTGTGGTGTAGCCACTGGCAAACCAAATGGATCAACGGCAGGCTGGGCTATTGGAGAGGCAGCTGCAGCAGCTTGATTTCTGAAAAAGTAATAAAACGGATGAATTAATCAACAATTAATCAAATCAACTGGTCTTGGGTGGGGGATTGGTAGTTAATACTATATTCAGTTTTTTATGAGAAAATTTGCTCTATGAAATGTCACACTCAGAAATTTGAAGACTGCTCTCTGAGCAAAGTTAAAGTGCCAAAAGCTACTGATATTATATCAATTAATTAAAGTGTGGAAGTGCAGAAGTGGATATTGACGCGAAACATAAAGCAGTTAGAGTCAATAAGCAGTTGTGAGGTAGGCTAATAAATTTCACAGGACTGGTGTTCTTGCAAAAAAATAAGAATTGTGCATAATAAATTTTTTTTGTGTGGTAGGTATAATGAGAGTGGTATGTTGTTCACTTCTACCTGATGTATAGCTTAGCAATTATAGAACAACAGTTGTTATAATTTCAAACTAAATTGGATTTTTTTGAGGTCTTAAAAAATATTATTCTTAAACTTTTCTGTCAATTCAAAAATATGTGGCTTGGTTGGTAGATAATTCTGATATTGGAATATTAAAGTAGATATTATTTATATTCATTTAATTAATATTGAGATATACCGAATGCAAGGATCAATAAATAACATGATAAACAAAATCTCCCAGGAGACAATAATATGAAATATTGATAAATAAAATGGAAAAAATCAACATTAATTAAATTTCAGAAATCATGTAACTGATTAGAAAGGATGCTAGGAATTTTGCTGTGTGAATATCTGTTTTCGAAAATGTATATATCAATATAGTTGTGACATTTATGACATAACAATACAATTGATCTGTTCATTCCTCACAACTTGTCTCGTAACCGTGGTTCACTTTCGGAGGTACGTTAACCAAAGACAGTGCGAAATGTTTTTGAAGGTATACGTAATTTTACTGACTTGAAGGCCACAGAAATAATGATGATGCAGGATGGTATATAACTTAGAAAGCCAATGGATAAATATAATTTGTTGTGAGTTGAACTTCGGATCTTCCCGGAATTTAGTCAAATCCACAATTTTTAGGACTTTTAAACCAGTCCTAATTCTCTATTTTTACCTTCTGGCACCGGTTGCACGATATACGTTTACATCTGTAAAGCACAGTACAAAACCATATTTGGTCAAAATTATATATTATATAGTAGCTTGATTAGCTTTTCAAAAAATTTCTTTCCTCCGCCACTAACGACCGTCATACGAAGAAAACTTGCTAGATTTCAGTACTTCAATGTTTCATCAATGTGTACCTTCCGATGTGCTAATAAATCTTTTATTGTATGCGCCTTTAAATGAATGAACTAACAAAATATGTGTTAGCACAAAATATTTGTATTTTTGGTTGGTGTAGGCTGGAGTAATTGTTTGCTTATGAATGAACAATAAAAGGCGTTTCAAATCAGATTGTTAAAATATTTATTACAAGAGAGTGCACTTTTACTCAGAGTAGGATAATCCGTATACCTCAAAGGCAGTAAAACTCAACGATCGGTAACTTTAGAATTAACACACAAACACACGACATCATGTCGACAAGCAACTCTCTACCACAGTGTTCCTCAACCTTATTGGTACCCATACCGATACCACATTAACTATTTTTGTTGTAGGCATGTGACACAGAACTCAGCAGAAACTGCCAATCACCCTTATGCAATTTCACCTGAAACCGCAAAACCACAGACAAGAATATTATTTAGCAATCCCATGGGATTTTAAATTCTGCATATCCCTGAATTCAATGTAAAAATATTATGAAAATTCTCTTGAAATCACAAACAACAGTATTATTAAATGTAATACAAATTTTTGTAACAGATGATTACCGCTATAATCAAGCAAACTGATTCAACACAGAGTTTCTAACACAAATTGCATTCTCATACATTTTTGCCCCCCGCAATGGAGTGATTCCAATTCCACTAGTATCCAAGTCATGTTCATGTAAAGCCCCATGGTATAGCATATAAAACGACCACTCACTAATAACACTTATCAGTACAACGCCGAGCAAAAATTCGTCAATGTATTCAAGATCGAAAAAAAAAAGTGCATCTTAAAATTGTTTAACAGCTACCTACAAAAACGTTCCGTAAATAGATAGTACTGACACTGACGAGATCTGCCCATCTCTAGTATGTATGCGAATCCTATTATCTCACATGGTTTCAAAAAGTTGAGTGCGAGAAGTCACCTCAGTCATGATATACCGTTAAGTGTAGCATTTGTAAAGCTCAAAATTACATTATACCAATTACCAACCAAAGGATTATAAGACTTGCAGAAAAGATGCAACAACAAGTTTTTTATTTATATCTAACACGGTGGACCTCAATTTAAAATAGTAGCCTAAAGAACAAAGGCCATTAGTGGAGAAGCTTTAGAACAGTCGTTCCCAAACTTTTAACAGTTGGGACCCACTATTTATTACCACAGCTTATGGCGACCCATTTAACTTTTTATGACATAACACAGAACACAGCAATGGCTAATCATCGCAAAACTACCGTGTTTCCTCGAAAATAAGACCTGGTCTGAAAATAAGACCTACAGTAATTTGAATTTCAAAAATGTTTTTAATTGAACCCTACCTTTGAAATAAATTTAAAATGTGTGGGAGAGGAAAGGTTCAATGACCTGAGGTAAGATGAAGATCACACCTCTATTCAAGATTGTGTGATGTCACAATCACAATTATGACATTTGTCACTTGGTTTTTGTATAGGAAATACAAATAAAAACAATGGATGACGGTTTTTATATAATGTTTATTGAAAAATCTCGTGATTTTCTACAATGTAATTTTATTTTTGATAAATGAACACAAACGACCTCTTTCAAAAACAAACAAACATAGTGTTGTTCTTCATCAAAAAATAAATCTAAATCCTGTCTAAATTTCGGGGAAAAATAGTAAGAAGTGCTGTACAATGTACGAAACTGCTATGCGTAAAAAGCCACATGGTCATTCTTTGTGTAGCAAATTTCTGTTCCTTTGAGAAGATCGTAAGAATGAAACTTTCACAGATTAGAATTTAAATTCAATTTGATTTCTTTTGTTTTTTTTAAGATTTACGTATTCGAGTCGCCACCGATTCTAATAACCAGTATATTTAATCAAAGCTTTCTACATATTTTCACGACCCACTAATATTTCTTTTGCGACCCACCAGCACCCATAGTTTGGGAACCGCTGCTCCAGAATATTCAGCTCTTAATAATTAATATATGACTATTATTCCTATTATTAAAGTGTAGACAGGGACGTGCAACCTGTGGCCTACAAGGAAAATTAGTGCGGCCCGCGGAGAAATGCCAATTTCAAATGGTGTGCAGCCGTCGAAACTAGTTTTTTTTTATTTAGTTCAATCTGGTATGTGCGAGTAATTCTAATCCCTTTGTGTTGCAAAGCCTATAGTCGAGTCCAATTCATTATCTACGCCTATATTTACCATCAGACAGAATAAAATAGAGAATACTAATTAAAACAATGTTTATCTTAATTATTTTGCATAACCGAATTTGATTTCTATGAATTTAGAAATTTTGTCTTGGTGAATTTCTCTTGTGGAACAGACTCACTTCAGAATTTTTAAAAATTTAGAATATATACAAAATACTGAGTGGCCATTCCTGGGTGTAGGGATGGTTACATTGTCGCAAATGCCATTTGAATGGCCTCCCCCATTAAAGGCATAATGGGCTGTAATATAGACCATATACAAACAATCATTGAAACTTCATTGTAATTATGTTCAGACGTAATATATGTAAATAAAATAATATTTCCAACATCATTGCCATCTGTATTAAATATATCATTAGTTAAAAATTGTATTCAGAGAATGATAAGTTTAGTAAAAATCAATTTTAATTCATTAAATAATTCAATTTGGCATCACAAGCTTTCATATGATACTAATGATGACAAGATTTCATTTTATTTATTTGAGTTACGGTAATCATTAATAGAGCAGTTTCTTCCATTAGACAAGTGGGCAAGCTATTTAATACAAGTTTATTTGGAATTCTTACGAATGATGAGTAATCAGATGCGATGACCAGTATTGTGTGATATATTTAGTGATTATCAATAACCAAACACATGTTATCAATATTCCATGTCATTATGCTGTGGCAAAATCAATGCTGGCACAATTATTATTCTCCATACCATGTAGGAAGAAATAATGAATATATATTGTGTACTTTTCCTTGGAATAGTCAATACTAAAAGTTTTTACTGGCACTTCTTCGATAATTTATGGCTTTTCATGCAGTAAAGTTTTGTTGTGTAACTTATTTTATTGTAAAACCAATATTCTGAGGCAGGGACTTTTCATTTAATGCAAAATAGATGAGTTGAAATCTTAACTAATCATTAATCGTCCATACATGTAGCTGGTACCGTAATTCTCTCCAGATTAAGTATGTAAATCTTCATGGCAAAAATACTGTAAGTCTTGGAGTGACTGTACATTCATTATTTATCGTAAAATTATAAGTTACTATAAGAGAATTTAAACATAACATCTAATTGATTAGTACCAATTTTTGACATAAAGTGGTGGAAATAAGACGTCCATGAAACTGACAGAGCTGAAGTAACTCAGTCTATAAAAGAACGTACCGCTGGGCGCCGACCATATTGATCATGATCACTATCAAAAATACTGTGAGTCTTTGAGTGGCTGTACATTATTTGATCGTAAGTTTCACTTATAGTAAAATTTTACCAAATTTGGAGGAAATAAGACATCCATGAAACTGACAAAGCTGAAGTAACTCGGTCTATGAAAAGAATGTACTGACAAGAGGCAATAGTTCTGCTGTCTGCACAACAATCTTGTAGAATTAAAAATTGTATTGATTTACCTTCCCCATGGATCATTCAATTGTGCTGCTGCGTTTGTGAGATCAAGAAGACTGGACTGATTGTTTGATGTTGGGGCAACTGCTGGTTTTGCATTTTCAACACTTTTGTTTAGTGCCATTTTTAATCGAAGATCATCGCTGTCATCTACTTTCTTGTCTTGTTCTGCTTCTTCTTTACTCATAGCGAGAGCTAATTGCAGCTGAAGTTCTTCTTCGCCTGCTGTTTGAGGTCGAGCCTGAATAGAAAAAAGCTTGCTCGAATCATTTAAAGATTTATCATTCATAATTTGTAGTACCTGGCTTGACAGTTAATATTAAGTTCATGTGACATTGACATTTCTTCGAGAAAATATTTACAAAAGGAGAGTATAGAAATTTTTTTCAAAGTTTTGGTATCCATTTATGAAACATGACTGTTTCGGTCAGGTGGAAAAAAACAAAAAAGAGGTTTAATTTTTTTCGATTAGGTAAAAAATTTGAGAAAAACTGTGAATAAAGTTAAAGCTTTTATTCAAAACATAATAAATAGCCAGCCAGTTTCCTTTTCACAACCTCAAGAGAGTCAGAACTTCATATTTTGTCATAAGCATAACTAAGAGAATCACAACTCCATCAGAGCTTAACAAACTTTTTTAGTATAAATATTATCACTGCACGCTGATAAATTTCAAATTTTGCCATAGCATAGCACACTAATGATCACAATAGTGACAATACTAATCAATTTAACCTGGAATAGCCAAAACACACTATTTAACTAGGCATCTCCAATAATATTGTTTTATGCAAAATTGAACTAATCTTTCTCTGCAACAGTCTTGAATAAATGTGACATCACAATGACTCTTAAATATTATGGTCCTTATCATGGTGCAGGAGAATTAGATAAAATGAATCGAAAAAAATTAAGAAGAGGATAGTTTAAATAGAAAACAATTACAATTAGCAAAAAAAAAACAAATTTCTCCTACACCTTTCATGACACATGTTAGGTCTCTTTCATGGGCTACTAGTATGTCACAGACTCACAGTTATGGATGTCTGGTAGGCCTATGCATTTTTCTGCACCACATCAATTTTTTTCTTCCATCAATTCTTACAATCCTATTCATACCTGCTCAAGTTCTGTTGACACTGGTGAAGATGTGAGAGCTGTGTGTCTGGTCTCTGGTGTACGATGAGTTTGCGGTGTTGAACTTCCATGCCCATATGAAATCTAAAGTTTTGAATAAGAGATTATATATTGCTGTATTTTAAACATTTCACCTCTAAAGTGATCTTCGTTATTGACTAAACCTAGGGAAATCCACGGGCAAAAAAGAATCTTCAATCTTGAATAAATAGTAGGGAAATAATGAGCCAATGTAGGTCACATTTTATGAAAAACTGAAAAATATCAAAACTAATCAATAAGAAGCGATAGTTCAAATACAAAACCAAGACTGAAAATACCAATTCGTATCTTTTTAAAATGAAGCCAAAGAAAAATATGAATATTATGGGTTATGGCTTGGAATCTGAATAAAATATTCCTCTCAGATTCCAGATGTGATTTGAGATTAAACCACGATATTTGGTTAGTTGACTAATACTTTTTGTTAACAAACAAATTTGAATATGGTAGTTGTATTTTGTTTCTAAATAAAGTAATACAGATTCTCCTAATTCTTGGAACGAGCACTGTTGTAATTAGGGGGTATAGATAAGGTTAGTTCAAATAAAGTACAATTAGAAAAAAATTGGTTCCAATCAAATTTCTTTGGTAAACATTTTTCACAAACTTTAATAAAATATAATTTACCGTTAATAAAAAATTTTAAAACCCCAATCAAAAAATATTCCAAATCACACATGATTCAGAACCAACTGTCATTACTTGCACATTGATTTTTTGATTGATTTTCATTAATAAAACTAATTTTAGCGTCATAGTGAAAGTGCAAATAACAGGATTCAAGATTCATATTTCATATAATAAATCCAAAAACTTTTGATTTAATTTCTCCCATCATCAATTTTCTAGACTGGGTACTGTCACTGTGTCATGTCTTTATTTTATCAGCATATAACAAAATGTATGAAATAATATAGTAGTCGAATATTAATCTTACTGGCAGGTTTTGTGAATAACATAAATAAAATGCAATTTGATTCAAACATGCTATTCAATATTAGTATAAATTTATTATTAGTATTAAAAATTTTTACACTGAATTTCAGGTTGCCTTGAAAATTAAATAATCAAAATTACATTAGAACGATGCCTTTTGATAATCAGCATTAATAATTTTTAAATAGTGAATAAAAAATCTGAAGATGAGAATTTTAAAAGATGTCAAATGATAGGTTTTAAGGGTACAAACGAAATAGAAACTTCATGCAGTAAAACAGGTTGTGAACATCCACAACAGGGATATGAGAGCGTAAAATCATACCTGACGATCACTTCCTATACCAGTAGTGGCCTGAGCAAATCTCTCTTTTGCTTTTATTGCTCTTGCTCTTTCAGTTTTCAAACGATCTTCATCTTTGAGAAGAAGGACTAGTTGTTTCGATTTCTCTCTGACATTTAAACCTTGATCTTTCCCATCTCGATCAAGAAACTGGAAATCTTTAAGTGTTTGTATAGCAAAAATATTCTCCTTGCACTGCTGAGCAACTCTTTCTGAACCAGTTTTTATAAGATAATCCAACAGCGTAAGTGCTTTATAAACATGCCGCCAATTTTTCCCATGATCGTTTACTCTTTTCCAAATCATAGACATTATTTCCGAAAATGCGATAACATTATATGTCATATCTGCTATTTCACTCATCAGTGAACTTGAAGGACCCCAGGCATCATTTGATGTGGCTTCACGAACTTTAACCTCAGCCTCTGTGTAGTTACGAACAACATTCATGAAGTTTCGGCGAACAGACATTTTTCCTTTCCTATATATATATACGGAGATACGCTTGTGTGTCAGAATTCACCAGAAGAAAATGATTACAGATTTAAGTTACACTAATACTATAATATGACAGCCAGGAATCATTTCTAAAAATTCAGATTTAGCTTATACAGTTAGAGGTAAAATCAAAAATGAAACTTTAAATAATAAGGGGATAACAGTCATGAAGAAATAAGACCTACATTTGTCCTGATGAACCTAAACAAAATATCTACTCAGACATTCATTAAATTTCTAGATTTCTCAAAAATAGCCGAGAATGGTTGAGATGGATTTCAAAAAATTTGTTTATTTTGTTTAAAAAAGAGAAACTGAATCTTATCTTCTTATTATACCCTGATAACAGTATTATCTAAATCTTAAATGAAGTTTATTGCTTAGGACAGGGGTGGGCAACCCCTGGCACGCGAGCCCATTTATTCGGCACGCGAGCGAGGCCTCAGAAACAAGATCATTCTCTTTCAGATAAAAAGTTTTGAGGCTCTGATTTATCTGATGAAACTAGGTGTTTGTTTATTCATTATCGTTTGTTAACAATCTGTTATTCATTTAAAATTTTAAACTCTTTTTGACTTTTCATAACATATGGCTACAAAGAAATATATTATGACGTAACAACTGAGTTAGCTCTCAACGAATTGTGACGAGACACAGCATTTATTGGGGGTTCATTGTTACGTAATATATAGTTCGTCTGTGCCACCATTTTTCTTCATTTCTGATTGATTTATGAAGTTGTACAGCTTATGTTGTTTAGAGTTACTTGCTAACTTACAGAAATAAATTGAGTTCGAAAGAAATAAAAGCAATTATAGAAGGGAAAACAAGAGAGAAGTGCAGAAAACGAACTATCGCGTGATTGGGAAGAATTTTTCGTGTCTTAAAAACTTTGCAACTGCATGTTTTTATCTACATATGCTTGTGACTTTCTGTTCTCAGTTATGAACTTTAGCTCATAATACAGTAATAGGAGTAGCCTGAAAGATGAAACCAGTAGTTCGTAACTTTCTTTCAATGTAGCCTAAATCTCTATCAACGGTAATGCAGCAGCAGAAGTCTCACTAATATAGAATAAGAAAAGTAATCAAATCTATTTGTCGAGCTGATATTTTCCCGAATAGTGAATCTGTCTGTAGCTTACATGTTTAGAAGGTTTATTATTGCAGTATTGTGTATTTTTGCTTTAAATGTAACAAAGCATTGTTTTAAATTTTGGTCGGCACGAGTAAGAATTTTTGTCGTTAAATTTAGCCGATTTGGGCACGCGAGCTGAAAAAGGTTGCCCACCCCTGTCAAACGAGAGAACTAACTGTTCGATTTCGGGTGCTCGTCTTGGATGGCAGTTCATATAGTTTGAAGGGCTCTATTACGTCACTGTGACTTCGTAATGATGTAATTTTTGAATGGTTTAGTCAGGTGGGGGTTAGGATTGATAGGACAAAAAATTGTCATTCTAGGTACGAAACTACATGAGACCCAACCTTTTGATATCAAAATTAGCGTATGCTAAAAACCTTATTAAATCAATGGCAAGCAAAATGAAATCTCAAATAATCGAAAACACTAACACTAACTAACCTACTCAACATCACTTTTTTTTTACTTTTACTGGTAATGGTACCGGTACCGGACCGTTCCCGAATTCTCGATACCGGTAGTCCGGTACCGGTACCAAAGTGACTATAACACTTTGATTTATAGACACTTAGCTCGATACCACAGCAGTGCACACGCCCGATGGCGCTAGTACTTGACGAATGTGGGTGAACATTTTAAAACTACTATATTTAAACTTTCCTCCCCTCATATAAAAAGTAAAAAAAACTTTTTTTCTAAATATGGAAAATGAGAAACCCGATTTTGCAAGGAAGAATTAGTATTACAAAGACTTCAAATGCTCCACATTTACAAACAATTCTACATACTCACCTGTTTTTATACCAGGTTGATATTTCAGATCACTGAACGCTATGGCCCTTACCCCGAGAATCGATTTCCTTGTTTACTTCGTGACATTCGCAAATCAGCAAGATGAAAAAAGTGGCGTAACAATGCTCCCTTTTCGCATCAGCTCTGACACTTTTCTAACTCAGACAGTTTTTCAAGGGTGGTCGTAAACATTACCTCGTTTTCGCGTTTTTGAAGTCTCTTCGTTAGTTTTCAGTTGTGTTTCGGAAACTTAAATATAATTCAGATAATTCAATGATCACTCAGAGAGATGACTTCTGGACTTGACACCAAGCAGTCCTGCCAATAGATGATATCCACGCGCGACGTTCCGGATTTTTTGATAACAGTGGAATATAACTGAAGATCCATTTTGTTGTCCATACTATACGTACAGCCAACGGTACAATACGAAATAACCATTTTCAACAGCCAAACAAAACGGAAACGTATAATCCGACTTGCAACTGACAGGAGCCAGCTGGACGTTTTTGTTTTTTGCCGTCCAGTAAACAAAGTCACGTGACCCGTGCAAGTCCCCTATATCAATTCTCGTGGAATTCGAAGTGGGAAGGAGTAATTGAAAAAAAAAGCGTCAATTGGCCCTACATTGCTGTATTACATAATAGCATAGAATCAAGTGGGTGGATATTTTAATGAGTGACTCTAAAACTTATAAGTGGAAGATTATTAAACTTGATCGATCAAAAGTTCTGAAATTTGTTTCCTTGTTGAAGGATAATCTATTCTGGAATTCAAGACTATACCGCAATATCCTAATATCACAATGCCTGGTATTCATGACTTAGTCCAGGGCTACTCAACTGGCGGCCGCGGTCCAAATCCGGACCTTTCGAGTATTGGATTTGGACCGCGCCTAATTATTGGACACGTTTAGTGGCCATAACGATCGTTTCAATATTATGTTGTTGTTGTTCTTGTTCTTTGACACGTTTTTAAAAAATTGCTTTTCTCTTCGAATACTGGACCAATTGCTTTGAAATTTTCAGTGGTTAAAGATTAATTTCTTCGCTAGAAGGCTATTACTTTTATTTATTTCAAAATTTTGCGTGAATTCTATGAAATTTGATATTTCGTCTAAAATTTTGCTGTATTATTTTTTATCCATGGGAACACGGATTTTAGTCAGTGTCATGACTGGCTGTACGTTTTGATTCTGCAAAATTCTTGCTACTGGAAATTCAGAACTTTTTTGAGGGTACCGGTAGCGTCAAAGGTACCGGTAAAGACTGATTCGCTCTGGTCTAACGTGTCCATATATTTGTGCGTAGCTCTCTTGTTATTTATTTTGGATCATTGGATCAGGCGCGGCGGTGTGGCTCAACGGGCTAAGCGTTAGGAATACGCTCGCCACCGCACCTCTAATTGCTCTGCGTGGGTTCGCAGGTTCGAATCCCATGCAGGGATGGTTATGTGCGAGAGGATTGCTGGACTCCTCGCCGTCGTTGGGTGGTTCACGTAACCGCTGGTCGGTTACGGCTTCCTCCACCACCAAGTCCATGTTCCGAAAAACAAACAATACAGTAAAGACTAATCCCATACCCGACTTGGAATGGTAACCGGACGAGAGGCCGTGGTTCGCCATATGGATAAGCCGTCTTATCGGCTTTCCTCTCCCCCGGGATAAATATGTAAATCCTATCCTATCCATTAGCCCCACTTTTTGAATTTCCTATTATAAAATGACTTTCATAGTTTTGAATATATACGAAAAGAACTATAACACCATAATAAACAATTTTAATTTGCTACTAATCATCAGTCGGTCGAGAAAGTGCTCGTATAAGGATGCCGAAATATCATTTCTGGAAAGACCGGACCCAAATAATTTTAAAGTGTTGTTTGCGGACCTTCGATAAAAATAGTTGAGTAGCCCTGACTAGTCTACAGCACTGCGTCGAGGATACTAATATATTGGAAATTCCCGATAAGAAAATAGCGGTCGTACTGCCACAGGACCGAAAGCACCACCGAATTAGCCTTCAGGTATCGTCCAATTAATTGACCCTGTAACTAAACTTTTTGTTGACATTGTAGCCTACATAAGGACCGAACAGTGGGATGATATCTAATATAAAACTTTGTGGAAACTGAATGGATGGCTACACAAGAAGCAACCCCGAAACTACTTTCCGAGTTTTTATGTTTGTTGTTTTCTTTTTAACTTTGTTTACTAAGCAAAAAAGCAGCTAATCACTTAGATGTTATAATTGACATTCGCATTTCAGCATAGGACCCGTCACATAATTCTCGTTCTTATTGTTTTTGTACTCTTCAACACTTGCGTTCACTAAAATATCGTGCAAGTCATCTTCACCTGTGAATTTTATTTTCTCGTGCTCATGTATGGTTGATGATATTATTCTTTGTCTTCAGAAAGATTTTCGCGAGTTTTTTTTTTGTCACTTATGTGAATGGGCACACGCGCCAATTACAGCACTCTAGGTTTCGCATATTTCCCAATCTTTTCATCGCCCTTGTCTGTGTTTTTTTTATTTATTTTTTGTTTTTGTTCTGTGACCTTGATCACTATCACAGACAGGCTCTTATACTGCCACTGTTATAAAAATATTGTTACTGATGTGCATACATCTAATCAGGCCTTATGGTACAATAGAAAGTTGCAATATTGTAGGTAACCTTTCATGTTTACAATTGGAAAGAACATGATATTTCTGAACTAAAAAATTTTAGTTTCAGACATTACATATTATTTTGATTTTATGACAGGTTGCATTTAAAAAAAATAATAATGAAACTGTTTGTTCCCCGAAGTATGTAGAAGTCGTGTCATTTAATATTCCCAGTGTAAAATGGGACATATATTTCGAAAATTTGTTTCTATTAACTATTGGAACAAAGTCTTTCAGAAGAAACTATTTTTGTAAAATCTATAGTAATCAACAATACATTACATGGGTTTGGACTAGTCACTAGTGGATACAAGTATGTGTGTATTTTGTAAACAACATATTGAAACTTTATTGGATTTATTGTCCCATATTATCAAAACAGTAAATATGAATTTCGTCTTGGTATGAAGGTACACTTTTGTCGTCCCATTATACTGTAATAAGTTTCTGCGGGACAGAAAACAATTTGTTGCAATATATTATGACAATTCATTCTCTACTAATATTTGTATCATGGAGCACGGAGTTTCACAAGGATCTTTATTTGACTCATAAGCCTACATAAACGACGACTAACGACTCACTAGCCTACATAAACGACATGCCCAGGATCTACATCGATGCTCAAACATATGGACACGGGTACCAAAACGAATTAGTGCGTCTATGCAATCTGTCACAGTAGACTACTAAAGCTGCAGTGTTCGCGACTTCGCCTGACCACCAATTCACGAACGCGGAATCGCCACAAGGTGCGCAATTTTGATGACGTCATCGCATAAAAAAAACTCGAATCTCATGCAGCCCATAGAAATTTTTGAAATAAATGAAAGTAATAGCCCTCTAGAAAAAAACTCAAGAGAATTGGTGCAGTAAGTAGTTCTAACAACAAGACGAGAGCGATGTTCAGATATATTGACACGAAAAACCAAACGAAGTAGGCCTAGTACTGGTATGCAATCTGCCACAGTAGTTCACTGGTACCGCAGTATTAACGACTTTCGCTAAGCACGAGGTCCGCCGACTTTTGCTGAGCACGAGATCCGCTGTTAATTAACTGGTCGCGGAACCGACACAATTAATTTCGTTACTGTGACCACACGAAACTTCAGATAAAAAAAGAATCCCACAGAAAGTTTCGAAATAAATAAAAGTTATGACTTCGAGCGACAAATACAATCTCTTACCACTGAAAGCAAACTCAATTGGTCAAGTAGACCAGCGTTTCCCAAACTGTGTTCCGCGGAACACTAGTGTTCCGCGAGCGTCTCCCAAGTGTTCCGTCGAACATGGGTCGAAATTGCGACTAAATTGGTCGCCATGGCGATCTCAGGATCGTAAAGTTTTGCCCAACTGGCAACTGTTCAATATCGCGTCACCGTCGGCCTAAAGCGGTCTAACGTTTTGATGATTGTGGTCTTTTCGCTACTCGTCGGCCTATTTTTATGACTGTCAGGTACTTTATCAAGTTTACTGCTATCTTTTTGGTTTTGCTATAGGCTAAAATTTTAAATATCAATGCTGCAATGGATCTTTGGCTTAAAACGGGAAGCCTCAAAAGATGTGAAAAGCCGGCTGTGCAAGTTGATGCACAAAGTGAAATTGTGAACGTTACGGTTTTGGTTGAAAATGATAATAATTTTTCTTCAAAGAGTAGTACTTCTGCACCAGCCAGTGACTCCAACAAACGTGCTGTTAAACGTAAGTATGACGAGGGATATCTGGGCTTGGGATTCACCTGGACTGGTTCTGAAGACTACCCCGATGCGCTTTGTGTAGTATGTCAAAAGATTTTACAAAATAGTTCAGTGGTCCCTGCCAAATTGAAGAGACATCTTGAAACCCATCACCCTCACTTAGCTAATAAAAGCATACCATTTTTTGCTACCAAACTGGTTGGAATAAAAGCAATGCAAAGAATTATACATTCAACAACAACATTCAATGATAAATTACTAGAAGTATCTTACTTAGTGAGCCAAAGAATTGCTATGGCGGGTGAGGCACACACTATTGCTGAAAAGCTCATCAAACCATCTATCCTTGATGCTGTGAAAATCTTGCTGGGCGAGAGCGAATCCAAAAAACTGGAAAGCATTCCTTTATCGAACAATACAGTAAGCCGCCGTATAGATCACATGGGAATTTATATCAAGTATAAAGTATGCTCTCGTTTACAAAAATGCGATTTTTTTGTCTCCAGATCGATGAGTCTACAGATGTGGCAGGTTTGGCGGTATTACTTGCATTTGTTCGTTACGCCTATGAGGGTGATATTCAGGAAGACTTGCTTATGTGTAAAACTTTACCCACTTATACCACAGGTGAGGAAATATTCAGGGCTTTGGATTCGTTCATGAATGAAAACGAAATTACTTGGGGAAAATGCATGGGTGTGTGCACGGACGGAGCCAAAAGCATGACTGGCTCAGTAAAAGGTGTGGTGACATGAATTAAACAGAAAAATCCGGAATGTTCCAGCTCTCATTGTGCTATACACCGTTATCAATTGGTAGCAAAAGAAATGCCTTCCGAACTAACCAGGGTTTTGGATGACGTGGTTAAAATTGTTAATTTCATCAAGTCAAGACCACTGAAAAGCAGGCTCTTTTCTATTATCTGTGAAGATATGGGAAGTCTTCATTGCAATCTATTGTTGCATACAGCTGTGCGCTGGTTGAGCCGAGGTAAAGTGCTTGTGAGAGTTTTTGAATTAAGGGAGGAACTATTGGCATTTTTAAGGAAGACAAATTTAGTTTGTCGTGCCGTTTGCACGATTCAACATGGCTGCAGTGCCTTGCTTATATGGCAGATATATTTTACAAGTTGAATGAATTTAACTTACGCATGCAAGGCAAGTACGAAACCGTTCTTTCAGTCAAAGATAAAGTTACCGCCATGAAAAGGAAACTCAAATTTTGGAGTGAAATGGTGAATATCAACGATCTATCTTGCTTTCCTTCCCTGCAAAACTTTCTTGTAAACAGAAATCTTAAGATAGATGGCTCGGTGAAAAACAATATTGTACGACACTTGAACGAACTTCAAACAACTTTTCTCCAGTATTTTCCCGAAGAGACGGACAACTTTGATTGGATTCGTAACCCATTCAGTAATTCAATTGTTTCCTTCACTGGCAGAACCATGGAAGAGTTTATCGAACTTTCAAGTGATGGAAGTTTGAAATTAGAATTCACAAGCCACCCACTTGGCAAATTTTGGCTGAATATGCGAAATGAATATTCTGCCGTTGCAAGAGAGGCAATGAAAAAAATTTTGCCTTTTGCGACTACCTACTCATGCGAAACAGGGTTTTCGCCAGTGGCGGCGCGTCAATAGGGCCAACCGGGGCAATGCCCCGGTTGTTTTTTCGGTATAATAAAAAATATTCGAAAAATACCTCAATATCGGTTGCACAGACTGTCTACACTAGCCATATTCTCCCGACATGGTTCATTTTTCGCTCGCAAAGCCTTCGCCGAACGTCGACGGGGCGACGCCGATTTTGCCCCGGTTGCTCATTGTATATCGTATTCTCTCTTTTATCTTCCACTCGCCGCGTTTGTCTCGTTTGTTTTCTGTTTCCTTTACTAAATCATCGGGGCTAGCCCCGAAATTTTGACGACACAATGCCGACGTTTCTTACAACAACGTGTTGACATATTCACGCATTCCTTCTCGTTCGTTGGTTGCTTGAAGAGTTGATAGTTTCCTCGCCTTCGTTTTTGTTGCTTGTTTTGCTATTTGAATCAGTTAGAGACCTTTAGTCCATTTGCTTTCGATTTTCCACATTCCTTTTGAGCTCCTCACTTCTTTCCGGCTTCGTATTTCTTAGCCTTAGACCTCATAATGAATAAGGTTGATGCACTACTTTGCACTCCGTTTTCGCAGCTGCCGCTGGAACAAAAATTAGAGGTACAACGTCTTGGGCCTTATCAACCAAAAAATTGTTCACTGGAACAATCCCATGACGGAGGAAAGCGTCGGCGTACATTCTGCGCAGAAACTTGGTATAAAAAACACGAATGGTTGTGTTACAGCGAGGACAAAAATGCACTTTTTTGTTTTTATTGCCTACTTTTTGCTACCGCCCGTGACTCACGTTGGTGTAAATTTGGTTTTAGAGATCTTAAACATCTTTCCGAGCGTGCCAGGGATCATCAATCTTCTATGGAGCATTTGGACAATGCAGTAAAATACCGAACATTCGGAAATGTTAATATTGCAACACAGTTGGATGAAGGACGCGCGGTTTCTATTCGTCGGCACAACCAAAACGTCGAGAAAAACCGCCATGTTCTCGGTCGATTGATAGATGTTTTGAAGTTCATTGGTTGTCACGAGCTGTCCCTCCGTGGGCACGATGAACGGGCTGGCTCTTCTAATAGAGGGGTATTTTTGGATATGGTGGAATACACCGCATCCCTAGATACAGTATTGAGAGATCATCTTGATGCCGCAACTGTTTCGAAAGGGACATCTAAGCATATCCAAAATGATTTGCTCGACTCAATGTATAAAATTTATTTACAACATTTGGCTCTGGAAATTTGAAAATTGCCAGTTCCTTTCGATTCAATCTGACGAGACAACTGACACCACGTGCGTTTCCCAACTGGCTGTGATTTTTCGGTTTGTGAAAGATGGTAAACCTACCGAGAGATTTCACAGCTTTGTACCGATCGTTGATCGCACGGCTTGCGGGATATCGGCTGTACTGAAAGAAGTGTTACAGCCTTACAACGCGAATTCAAAATTGATAGCTCAAACTTATGACGGCGCGGCAGTCATGAGTGGGTCGAAACATGGTGTTCAAGTTTATATAAAAGAAGAGTTTCCTCATGCCGTGTCCGAAATTAGGTCTGAGCTCATTGAGTGTTTCAATGGCATTCAGAGCTCTCCGGTTTGGGACGAACGCACTGTGAGGGAGGCGGCAGGTCTAAAGCGTCTGCTAGAAGATGGTGAGTTTTCATTTTTTCTCGCTTTTTTCTCCACAATATTCTATCACGTGGATGTATTATACGGCGCATTGCAGTCAAGGCTAATGGATAGAGCGTCTGTGCAGTCGTGTATTTCAGACTTCTGCGATGCTGTATCTCGTATCCGGGAAACAATAAAATACAACGACACATGGAGTGCTTCTTTACGCCGCTGGCAAACAACGAAGCGTTTGATTTTGTCTGCAAAGGAATGCTGTGACATTCTGGTGAATCAAATAGGCGATCGTCTGCGCACTGAACACCTTGCCGCGTTCTCTTTGATGAACCCCAAAATTTTTTCAAAATTTGCACGTCAATTTTCCATCCATTTGTTGGCTACTGTCTCCAAATTTTACCCCATGATAAACGTGGGTAAATTGGAAAATGAATTGCGATGTATATACACCAATCAAACTTTTTTGAACATCACATCAACTTGCGCGCTCTATGGGTTCCTCATAGATAACACTCTAGTAACTACCTTTGCGGCGTCTGCAAAATTTCTGGACATCATTTTGACGACGCCTATTTCTTCCGCCGACGCAGAGCGAACATTCAGCACGCTGAAGCGTATTAAAACGTATCTAAGAAACACAATGAAGCAAGATAGATTAAATTCCTTGGCTGTTTTATCCATTCACAGAGACGTTATTTCTGGGATGCATGACTTTAATCAGCGCGTTATTGAGCATTTTGCTTCCAAGAAACCGCGGCGTGTTGCATATATGTTCAAGGGTGACCGTACATTTGAACCCATGTACATTTGAACCCATGTGTATATCCGCGGGTTCAATCAATATGCGGGTGCTAAAACCCATGGGTTAGGTTAGTATAAGTACAAATATCCGTAAAACCAAAAAAATTTCTATAGGTGCAATGGCATGCAAGTGCAATTGTCGTGGGTTCAAATGTAATGGAACCATGTTCAAGCAGTAGAAGTCTAGCAGCATATATATCTATGAGTGAGCGACGCATGTCCTTATCTTTGCATTAACTTTCCTTTCTTCATAGTAACGTTTTAAACCTTATTTTAGGTTTTGTCTGCTTTCCCGAAGTTTCTGTTAATATGTCATTGTATTTATCTGGGTAAATATTGCCTTTCCTTTTGAAAGAGGGTTTCAAAATAAACTATGTCTATATTTATTAATCCCTTGACTTGGACCGGTTTTAAAGACACTTTCTTATCGTTAAAAATTGTCGCTTTTGCCGATTGGTTGTTACCGATGGAATGGTTTTTATACTCATAAAATGATGGGAGAACTTACAGCGCTCATCCTGTCCCCGTAGATGGGGGTGACTTGGTCCCGCAGTAGCTTGCCCCTGTTGTCAAAATGACCACGCGCCGCCACTGGTTTTCGCGGTACGTGTCCACCAAGACAAAGTACAGGAGCCGATTGAATGTCGAAGCGGAGATGTACATTCAGCTATCCACTATTACACCTGATATTAAACGTCTTTCCTCTTCTGTGCAAGCTCATCCTTCTCATTAAATTTGAGTAAATCCGTCACACCGCGACCCCGGTCACACACAATTAGTACTGTATATATTTATTCATCAGTTTTGTTTGAACTTTAGTGATGATAAATAAACAATTGATTGACACCATTTTTTTTTTTTTACAATTTACCCTCTCAATTCTTGGTGTTCCGCGAGGCGGGATAAAAAGCGTAGGTGTTCCGTGGCTGAAAAAGTTTGGGAAACGCTGAAGTAGACTATAGTTAACGAAAAAAGCAATTTTTTAGAACAGAAAAGAAAATAATAACTACTAACAACAACAACATAATAACAAAACGATCCATAACCCATAAGTACATTTCGTGTCCAACAAGCCGAATACAAAAGCGGAAGCCACCTGAAAAACAGTGCTTAGCACAGATGCAATGAAACCGGGGTCCGCGGACCTCAGTGCGGTCTTTAAATGTAAGGTCAAAAGGTTACATTGAAACTTCTATTTTAGTAGAAATTTTATACTTTTACACCAATGGCAAGGGACAACTTCAGTTAGGTAGTTAAAAAAGAGGAATTGCATATTATAACTTTTAGTTGAGTTACTGTAAAGTGTTTAATTCATATTAGCCCCGTTTCTGATAAATTATACAAGTATTGTACTACAGTATAGAACTTTTATCAACTCTAAACTATGCAAATTATTTTAAGATTTTTGCAATGCTCAGTTCTAACCAAATATCAAGTTTGTGGGTCATGACGTTTGCTCGTGATCCGGTTTTGGTATGAATTGACATTTCGCTTGTTTCCAAAAGATTTTACTTCCGATAGGTAGTAAAGGTAATATGCCAGACGATTCGTGAAATGCTATTGTCTTGACTATACTATTGTTGATCCAGCTTCATGCTACATACTAATTTGTCTTCTACAATGAAGCTATCCCAATTATAGTAAACTGGCAACCTCATACAAGATATTATTAGTGGGTGTTCATATTTTATTTCAATGATAGTTTCGAGAAACATTTTTAGTTTAACCGTAAATATATACTACTACGTTTAACTACTATTGACAGACACAATCGTATCGCTTCGAACTCGACTTCCGGACAATGTACCAGAAATAGAAATGCGCTTTATATCGATAATTTGCATTTATTTTCACATTCGTCGATAAGAGCCAACTGGCAAAAGCTTCGAATACATAGTGAGTGAATATAATTAGGAATATATATATTGCGATTGACATTTTCTCATCGCTACTTTTCTATACCTTTCTTAAAGAAGTTTTGAGATGCTTCATCGGTGTCATCTTCTAGGCCAAAAAAAACATTTATTTTTCAGAAGAAACTCCACGTTTTGTTACGTATCTGAGACGGAGATACAGAGAAAAAAAGAAATTTTGCAGATTATGTAATGCATGTTGTGTTTTATCCAAAGTTTGAGTATACCAGACAAAATGTCGCTATCCGATCACGTTTCATTCGAACATTACGCCAGATGATGTTAAATGCCAGTCATGCGTTCATTGATTTCTACTCTTGTCTAGAATTCGATGATAGTTGCTTGTTTTGAACGGCATATCCATAAATGCAAAATTAGAAGTAGACAATTACTGAATATGATGTTTAGTGGATTTTGGAAATAGGGTTCGTGGGAAATTACAGGCTTTAACTCGCGATACCATTGGCGCATAACTTATTCGTAACTTCTAGTAATAAATACATTGCAATGCTACTGAGATGTCGATTGTCAATGAATTTACTCAGAACCAGTATCTGTTCCGATCTTGGAACTCTCATTGAAGCAACTGTTACCGTAACTAGTAGAAACATTTTGGTTCAAAGTTAGATAAAATGCCGCTTTCGATTACTGGGTAAATTTTGCTAACTTTTTGGCACTTGGTTCCCCCTACTAACGAATTTTCATAATATTGTTTCCGTCCATATTGCAGAATATCCGCAGTTAAACATAAAGATCATGGAGTATCCTATACGATATTCGGATACGATTGACAAGCAAGATGTATATTCGGGAGATGGTTCAGGCATTCAATTCATTGACAATACGACTGATGCTTCCAAAATTATTTTTCAAGACGAAACGACTGCAATGTCGAACAATATGAGCATGCGTGAAAATCAATTTGCAACTACAATATTTGTAAATGGAACTATTCCGAATATAATATCGCCCTCGACGGGATATAAATACGTTTTGTACATCGGCGGTGGCCTGTCAATTGTATCTTGTTTGATTGCTTTGTTTACGTATGCATCTTCAAGGTAACAGGGTCTTATAAAAATGTTGTTTTCTGTTATTTCAGTTTTCAATACTGAAATTATAAACCTCTTCACCTCCTGACACGTTGGCCTCCGCGCATTGGATTCTAAACGGTTCATGCATCTGCATCTATTTATCGTATGAGTGATTCGTCTTATCGACTTTCCGGGGATAAATGAATAAATTCTACAGTGCCATTTCTACTAGATAAATCTCTACAGAGTCAAACATTCTGTAAATACGATATGATTCATTTTGGGAATTGTCAACTAAAAAATGTCTAGTTCTGTAGTATTTTCACAAATCGATTGTGAGCCGTCTCTGCATTAATCAATCAATAAATTGAGAATCGAAACACATCAAACAATTTCCTGTTCGCTTTAACACCGCTGGTGTTTTTGCATTATGATTTTCTGTAATATTTCCAAATTTTATTGCAGAAAATTTCGTGTAAAGAGACCGCATATGATCACAATCAACCTATGCATTTCACTGATAATATTTTATATCGGGATCGTGATGTCAGTAGCAAGCATGGATGTTTCTAACATTTACAGCATAAACCCTTCGAAGTCATGTATTGCAGGTATGTATTTTTCTGAACAAGAATCTTGATCAAAGACCAACAAAATGTACAAAACAAGCTAATACGAACTCACTCAGAGTTAGAGATAACGCACCAAGTATCAAAAAATGGCCTCTCAGTTTGGAAGAAGATATAGAATGATATTAAATTTGTATCAAGGTACGGTACACCATTTTACTCTAAGTTGGAGTACATATCGGTGTGTGTTATTATCTGTAACAAAGTAATACATATATCCCCAATAATTCAAAAATACTGTGCAGGCTTATTAAAATTTTTTACTCTAATGAATTTCATTGTATCTTTTTACAGCGGCTTCCTTATTTCAATTGGGATTGTTATTTGCATGGACGTGGGCAACTGTGCATTGGGCTTATCTTACGTATTCTGTTCACAAAATAGCTGCTCCTCATATTTCACATTTTGTCATCAAAATAACCTTACCTGCATACGGCAAGTACAATATTCATACACAAATTCATTTGTTTCATGGGCGTGTAAAATCAATACCGGGAGTGTATGATCTTCTCTCATGTTGTTGGACTTTTTATACCGCATATCTGTTCAGCCAAAAAAATTATATTGTGAATTGTTGAATAAAAAATAAAATTTGATTTTTTAATAGTGCTTTTTATGTTTTTTTTTTAAATAAAAATCCCCTCGATAATGGACCTATATTATTTCATATACGCAAAAGTAAACATCATTTTGAGTATCCTTTTTTTGTTCAGGTTTTCCCATCATTCTCACTGGAAGTATTTTAGTCACAAATTCAGCATGGGATAACGCTTATATTTCTGCACAAACGTAAGTTAACAAATATTCAAATAGGAAGAGGTAATGGGCATGTTTTTCTAACCAGGAGAGAGCAGGCCAATAAGCAATTTGTGAGTGTTGTCACAAACAGGTCAAAATAATTCTTTTTCTATATTTCAGGTGTTTTTTTAGACTCGGCCAACCACTGACTGCTGTCATCAATTTCTTGTACCTAGTGACATGCTTTGCTATAATGGCATCATGCATTGGGTATTGCATTGGCCGGCTTACTTGCAGAGACGACAAGAATCATGTTGCGTCTACTCGCCTAGTAAGAATTTTGTTACTTTTGCAGTGACACTTTTCCTATGAAAAAGTTATATTTTCTGAATTGGTAAAATAAAACAAACGGCACCCAAATATTTAAGATCGAAACTCGATACATTTTTTAGTTCAAGGAGTCTTGAAGTTGATACAAATGCTGAAATAAGCGAAATATTTGAATAACATGTATCATAGTATTTTAAATTCGAGACCTCTGGCAAGAAATTGTTAGTTTGATGATGTTTTGAACTAATTTGTTGTCAGCTGATTTTCCAATTTAAAACTTTTTTTTTATTGTTTTTGTGGCAAAACTTCTGTGATTTAACGCCATTTCATCTTAAGAAAGAATATTTTTAATTTTTGATTGAGCAATGACGACTGACAATTTGCAATCGAGCTTGTGCCAAATAATGTTTGGAAATGAAATATTGCCTGCAAGAAAATCTGAAACGTGACAGGTTTTCATACCAGAGTTTACAAGATTTTGACCGGAAATCACGCATTCGTGATTTCATATTATATTTTCAGAGAATCAAAGGAAGCGTCACTAGATTGGCCGTCATCACAACAGGCGTCATCGCAATTTCCATTTTAGAATTTATTCGATCTGGAGTCGTAGAAGCTTATTCGGTTAGATACAATATTTCATATCATATATATTGATTATTTTTCTTATACAAGATTAGAAAATATATACCGAAGTATGTCGTATCAAAGACACTTGCGGTCGGTATTGATTAGCATATTATGTATGCATCAATTTCGGAAACTTACATCGTATAAACCAGGGTGGTGCAAGGTTGTCGACCTCGTGGGCCACACTATTATTTTTGTATTGCGGGCCACAATAGTGCCAAGAATAGGTAAACAGTGCAATACAAATCAAACACTTTATTGTCCAAACACATTGATCATTATTTGTCATTTATAAAGCTAAAACCACCAAAAAACTCACTAAAACCTGCAACATTCTTACTATATATACATTAAGTGTTAGATTTCAAACTCTTCATAACGAAGAAAGTGTCATAAGAAGAAAATGCGTTTTAGATTGTCACCAACACAACTTGCAGGCATATCAAGCAAGCATTGTGGCATTTTTTGGTTATTTTTATGGTGAAACAACACCAAATGGGATTTTTTGTTTACTCTTCCGTAAATGCGACGCGGGCCACAGATTATAAATCGGCGGGCCACATGTGGTTCGGACCACTCTGGTATAAACCTTACATCGCAAATGCTCAAAAATGATCATTTTCGTGGCTCAAACTATAGTCGAATGAAAAATTTGCGGCAACACTAAATTATCCAATGTTGTAATGAGTTTTTGGGGCCTGAATTCGTGTGCAAACAGTTAAAGACTTTGACACAAGAAAAAAGTTACTCCAGCACCGTGTTATATTGGTTTAAAATAAGCATCTTATTAGTCTGACGTTTCTTGTTGCAAATACTTACTTAAACGAAAAATACTCACAGGAAATCGGATTGGATAAAATTGTAACATTTATTTCTAGGATACCTGGTTTGAAGTTTTCAACGGAATTGTACTTGGAGCAGCTGGAATTATCGTTTCTGTAGGATTGACATTGAGAAGCAAAGAATTTCGTCTTTATTTGGTAAGCCATTTCAAATTTTCTCTTCTAGTTCACCTGTGTTGTGTAAATTACCAAAATTTAAACAGATTTTCATTTTAATTTTTCATGGATATTAAAATGTTCATTATTTGCAGGTGAAGCACAGTCAATCAACTGTCAGTGTTCGGAGAATTGTTAATAACTTTAGTCGAAAAGGTCGGAAATCCTCACAAAAATCTCGTTCAAGAAATCCAAGTTCATCATCGATAAAATCTTCCAAAGGTGTAATGTGCGATGTAGTGAGACCGCCTAAACCTGTCCCTCGTGAAAGTTTAAAAGGAACAGTTTCGATATCATCAGCGCCAAATATTCAGCCTAGTTCTGTAATTTCTCAACTTAATTTGAAGAGCCAATCAAATGAAGCAATTGTTGATCAAAATGAAAATACTGACTCATATCATGACGTAGGAAATGTGAGTAACAACATAATACAGCAATTGGTATAATCTCTAACGAAGGAAATTAAAGTAGAGCGAATGGATTCCTTACTTGCACCTTGTTGTTGTTTTCATTGCCGGCATGGCTCGAAACTGTCCATTTTAAAGTAATATATAATTTTTAAGATTAGTTGACTGACTGACTCTGAACATACCCATATTGAAGTATTAGGCTAAAAGACCTCTTAGAACATGAAAGCGCTCTACGTACAAGAAGATATTTAGGACACTCATGTGAAAGACATTATTCGCAAGATAATATTGTGTTTATTGTTGCAGGTAAACGCTAACAACATTGGCCCCGTGCCCCGTGAAACCAAAAAGTCTTCTGTGGAAAAAGTGAGTACAAACTTAGCAATATTTGAATAACCCACCATTACTGCAATTATCTTTCTCATGCTAATAACACTATTCTGAAATTTTTTCTGTTAAATTTGATTTCATGCTCTATGCAGCCACAGAACACCGCGTTTTTTTCTGGCGCTTAATTATTATTTATTTTGAAGTCAGATGACAATGCGTGGGTTACATACCTACTCTGGTTATATTTTTATTATTACAATAATCGAAACAATTTTACAGAGAATGAAGGCAATATCGCGAATAGGTAGCCTACGACAAAGAGTAATGAGTGCCTCCTTTCGAAATTCCACACATCCGCAGGATTCAAATGATACTCCGCCACCGTCCCCTAAGCCTCGAATGCGACAACAATTGCCACGTAGTATGTGTAGGTCAGTAAAAACTATAAATATAATATTGTAATGAACAATTAACTCTTTACTAGTTCACAGTCGGTACATGCACGACTTGTACGAATCATACAATACTAGTTTCACAACTATACTATATGTATCTGTTGTGTTGCTTGCTTCTTGCCGACCGTGTGCTAAAGTTAGTACCGCCATGCAATCAATCGGTGAAACAAAGTAAATATGGTTGTTAAAGGTCTCATGTGTAACTCAAAAAATCGGGGTTCAAGATGCCAATCTTGTTACGTTGATAAGTTGTTGAAAAAAAGTTGAAAGTGATAAAATCCGCTTGGCCTTATCACTCGGTTATCGATGAAGGCAACGTTTGGAAATATCCAACACAATATTGCATGCACAAAATGATTTTTATTATATATATACCATAGTTTTCATCTTATGTTTTTACAGGACTCAAGTTATTCCAGAGAACTTGGTTGACCGAATATCATTGACCAGTGTGGATCTTGCAAGGCAATCATCGTTTTAATGATTGTGAGATGAAGTGACTTTGCCAACAGCTTCGCGAGTGTTATTTTTTATTACAATATCAGATATATATCTGTTTGCAAAGTGGGGGCGCATATAAAGCGCTTTAAGATATACACTCCTCCAAACTCGACAGCGTTGGTAACACCAAAGGCTGTGGGTACACATCTTATCAGTCGATTTGCACATATTGACAATCAAATTATATGAAAATTCGTCAACAATTTCCATTAAGCACAATATTGGTGTATTCCAATTCAAACTCAACGAGTTTGTGGTGATTTATTACCACAGGTAGACTATAAGTTTTGTTCCTTACTGAGGGAGTGCTTTTCACATCATTGGAGCATGAACGGATTTGATGTTTACATCTCGATTAAAAAATTCTGATAGCTTTTATCAGATTTTTCACTTCTTACTTCGTGAAACCTTACTCGCGAGTACAACTGGAAAGTGTAACAACAACTTCGTTTTTATGGAAGTTGCTACTATAGTAGTGTTTTTCTAACATGCGAACCAATATTTACTATCTTCTTTGACGTAACAATAAATATGACTCCATTTCTTTTACAACGATGTTTCTGATGATTGTTCGTGGGTTTGTTTTAAGTGAACGGCAAGTAAATCTGTCTTTAAACAGTTTTGTCGACAGATAGAAGTTTAGTAATGTGTGCAGGAGACGTTAGAGATTTCCAATATACTACTTAATTAATATTAAATTTATAGTTTTTCGGAATGAAAATATATTTTCAAGTAAAATATTTATTCAAACTCAAATCAGATAAAAATAAAATGATATAAGGTGCGTCGAAATAAAGTCTGACAATTCAATGAAAAGAACACTGCAAAAATATCGCAAAAGAACATAATTTTATCTTGTCGTGTATTATTAAAAGCACTGATCAATATAAATCACATGTTTTGTCCTTTAATACTTCACTGTTCTTGTCAGTTATTGATTATCGAGTGTGAGTCATAGATAGAGCAAGTTTCGCTGCAGATCCATCAATAACCATTGTTCTGGGTCAAATATTTTAACCAAGTCTTGTCGTACTTTAGCAATGATGAACAGTAGAGATGTTGTGGGTGAGTATATGCATGAGATTTCTCATGAGTGAGTGTGCGAGCGAGAACGAGAAACATCATTAATCGAATAAGGAACATAATTTAAAATTTAAATAAACATTTTAACAGAAATATTAAAACACATTATTGTTCGACTTTATCCTTGCAAAGTGGATTGAAAAGTTGCATTGTCTTCAGCTTGAACGGTAAAGGTCCAGGGTGACAGGAGTATTGTGCTATCAGAATGTAAACATGAGGAAAAAACTGATTTCGTCCCTGTGAAAAAGGAAAAATATTTGTCAGAAGATATCAATATACAGTGCAGTTTTTCTTCTTACACAATGATTTTTAATACCTGGGCCATAGACGTGTGTGTATTAACACTGCCAATGTCCTGACTGTTTCTGTTATGCTAACAAAATTAAAGTGAAAAAATAAATAATAATCTTTGTGATCGGATTAAGTTGTTGCCATATTAAGATGGAAATTGAGAAAATACTTCCAGATTATTTGTAATATATATACCGGTATATAAATTATTGAAAGTATTTTGTAATGTACATCGAACAAATGGCTCATTAGTTCTCAAAAAGAGTGCCAGTTGCCAGATTTTGCCTTACACACTGATCCCCCAAACCATCGCTTCAAACTGATTCAAATAAATAACGAAAACTGTCTATAAAGTATGTGATTCAACAGATAAACAGGTTGGATTATTTATATTCTGGTGGTGTTAAAACTGTATAAAAACATTAAAAAAAAAATTAGAAGTTATTTTTATCGAATTATATCGACATGATCCACTAAGCTGCATTTGATCTGAAACGGATGTTTTTATTTGGTAAAATATAGTAAAACGAATTATGTGGTTCGTTCAACTTCCAAAATAGCCACGTGCGCCAACGCTTTGCACGTACGCAACCGCGTCCTAAAACAGCTCAGGAGGTGGTCATGATCCCGTGAAGGTATTTCTTCTATATAAGTTAATGTTGAAAATAGGCAGACTAAACAACGAACAAAGCATTTCACATCGATTACTAATCAAAAAGGCAACACACCTCTATGTGATATCCGACTTTTTCAATCTTATTTATGTTGAAGAGTTTGCATGAACCGCGACAGCTGACAACAAGGGTGTATGATGCCCCCTTGCGGATTGGTCGAATAAGTAAAAATGATCCGTCCTGTTCCGTTCGGAGAATACCCATCGCTACATCTCTGCAAAAGATAAATGAATAGTCAAAATGCCTACTAAACTTTGCAGAATCATTATATTTCGCCCACGTGGCTATTTTGAGGGTGAGAATCACCACATAATTGTGTCGTTGGATCGCCAGGTGGAATAGAGAGCAAATCCGATTCAACTCAGGAAATTCAATTCAACTCAGAAAACTGGATTGATACTAGTCAGAATAGAAGGTGACATGGGGAGAAAAGTACAATCATTTTATCCTGTGAATACAAGCGTTGAGTAGTGTCAAATTTAAAAAAAATTGTTTTGCGTCATTAATTGAATGATTCACATACTTGAAGATATAAACAAATAGCTGTAATAAAAGTGTAAACATAAATTGTTTAAACGGATGGCACCAACAAGACGACGACAAGATTCGTTACATAAAATACTATAACGTAAAGATTTGGGAAAGAAGGCAAAACTTGATAATAGTGTTACAACCAAGAAGTAGATCTGTTATAGAAGATTTAGGTTCAAAATGGAATGTTGTAAAATCTTACTGGTTGTGGTAAACACACCCCTTAATGAGAAGCGAACAATATTACCAAAATATACAGAATTTTTTTAAATCATATATGCAAAATAAACTAGGATGATTGTGGAAATACGGTAGTTCACAACATACTGATTGGACATTTAGGATGGTGTGTTCGGTTCAAATAACTAAATCCAATGGCAGCTTTTTATCTAGCTTGGAAATGTTGTGTGTCATCGAATTTTCATACGAAATATTGTAATTTCTCAATGGCAGTTATGTAGTTTACGAGATAAACAAAATAAACTTTATCACAACACAAATTGTTTTAACAATTCTAGCATAAAAATGGGCTAGTGTCAACCCTGTCTCTCGGCAAAATAAAAGTCCTAATCATTGCCTGCAAGTGAAATTTGCCAACTCAACATTTTTATTTTAGGAGAATTTCCTCAATTAATTGCTCGTAGCGATGAATTTGGTTATTACTGTTACTGCGAGCATATTTTGAATATAAACAAAGGATTTAAAGTTATCAGTCACGTTAACACTAAAATCCCTTCAAAAATGCAGTTTCGTCCCGTGACCTAATAGCAAACTTGTCGAATATCGTCGTGTAAAATCAGGCTATTACATACGGGCCAACTTTGGGTATCTACTTCCTACGCCCTGGCAAAGTGCATCAACATAAAGATGACAAATTTCAACTCTTCATGCGTCATAAAGATGAAGCGATTAGATTCAAGTGCGATACAGAACACACAACAGAATAGTTCAACACGATAAATATATTGAATGCATTACGGAATGATCACGGAAGGTACCCTATACCTCATGCCCGAAAAATACCGGACCAATGTATTAAATAATCACGACAAACGGCATTTGTCATTAAGCGAAACTAGAATAGCCTACTACTAAAATGGAATGCTATATTAATGTCAGTGTTAACTTAAGACAACAGGGTATTACGTATCTCTTTTAAATATATATATATATCGAAATGAATAGCGGCAATTCATGTTCCTCGCGGTGTTGTAATCCGTAACATACATTTTATGGCGTTAGAAATGAAATTTTCTACGAATTCTGTGTTGAAGTATTTTGTTAAATCAGATCTTATCTTGTTCCGGCTTTTGCAACATTCACGTAGTCAACGAAACTGAATTTGGTGGTTGGTGAGATAAGGAGCATTGAATAAATGAAATCTCCTTTTTACGAAACCGAACAGACAAACAGTACGAGGACAAAAGCCAAAAACAAATTATTTCATTTCAATCGCTATTTGTAAACACCAGCCATCTTATAGCATAAACAAAGGAACCGAGTTACTGGAGTGGCAGTTTGGTAGTTTTTAATTGCTCCGAAAGTCAACCAATACGAACTTATAAAGGAAGAAATTCTGCCACCTCGAACCAAGCGCTATTTGAAGCGTAAAAATGGGGCCTGAAAATTAATAAATTCTATCCAAGTAACCAAACAATAAGTTTGCATAGGCTAAAGTGCTAAACATTACTATCATGAAAAAATTTAATATATATACTTACATGGGTAATGCGGGATGATACCAGGCAGCATTCATCAGTTTTGAATCCAAACTAACAAAATTATCCGCCGAAATCATCTGCGCAGCAAACGATCTTCGAAGTCTTCCATCTTTATACTTTGGAGAATCTAATTCGGCAATCGTGTCCACTAGACTTGTTGAATGTTTCGGGAACCAAACATCTGATCTAAAAGGAAAATACATCATTACAGACTTCAATTTTTATTTTGAATTAATCTATGCGTGATTTTTGAAACATGAAAAATTGATTCTCACCCGCTCTGTAAGCTGTCGGTATTGGATGAACGTGTACTCTTCTTACTGCAACTCCCTGAACTGCTGGAGCTAGCATTACTTGATTGAGTGTACATTCCAGAATCCTCACAAGCAGTCTCGTTTGAATAATTAGACGATGGACAACTGGATGAAGACGTGGTACCGCTACCTATGGTTTCACTAAGCAGTTGTACAGGCGAGCGTAAATTTAATCGTTGCCTACTTGGCGACTCTGATAAAGAATAATTATCATCAGAGAACTGCCGATTTTCCCAGGTCGCTCCTTCGTCGATAGGATAATTCTCTGCTAAGCTACGTCGAATTCTAGAATCTGTTGGTTGCAAACCTATGTTTAGCATAGAACTCGTTGGAATAATTTCTGTTCTTTGATGGAAAGGCACGTTATTATCGCTAGTGTTCAAACGTTGACGAGGGCTCCAAAGTCTATCAAATGTTCTGTCTGCAACGAGTACACTTTCCGTTTTGCTTCGAGTATATTTCTTCTTTTTCTTTTTTCCCAGTCGGAAAGGAAGAAATCCGCTTAATGCTTGTGCCGGGGAACAACCACCACCACCAGCTTTACTGCTTTTAATTGTATCCAAATCTCCTCCCGGTCGCCGGTCGCCTTCTTTCAGCCTGGCGTATGATTCAGATAATTTCGTGTTTCGAGCACCTTGGCCTAAACTCATACTTTTGTCCTGTCTGGATATATTCGAACTCAAATCATCTTCATCGTTTATACGAATTGATGGGGCTAAACACAAAAATATGTAAAATTTTAGAAAAGGCAGATTTTAAAAATTTGATAAACGGTTTAAAATCGAAAACATCTTACTATCTGAAGTATGTAAAATTCGAAGATTTGAAATATTGAAATCCCCTGATTCATCGTTATTTGGTGCTGAGTCGTGATATGAATCTTGTTGACGAAGTAGTTGTTTAATGCCTGCTTTTCTTGACAAATTTGAAGACTCGTGATAGGATATTGGCCTGAATAGAGAAGAACATTTTCCATACCAAACTTGAGTCACAGGAGCTATCAAAATGCCATTAAGTCGGCTATAATGTCGGCACATATGACTACTCGTGTTGTATATCATATGACGTTTTAGCTCTTCAATTCAATTTACAATAATGGACAATATAAACTGCCCGACAACATCATATGGGAATGGGAAGCCGGCATAATTACAAAACATAACAAAACCCTAATGCTTGTTGAAAGTTGAAAAATAACAACAATTTGCCGTTTGAAGTCACTCACTGCTTATGATCTTGACATTTTTGTTTTTGTGCCAAGTTAATACCGTCAAAGTTGGCATCCGTTGAAGATTTAAAATGTTGCCGAGGTGGCGAATTTACACCCAAGGCATCTGCTTAATTCTCTACATAAAAGCGGTCGATTTATTTTGATAAAATTTTCTTGTATGAGTAAAGATCTGACGCCAACTGAGGCGAACAAAAATTGAATATATTGTAGAAGTATATTGTATATATCAAGTGAGGTGATGGTATATGGGTAAATAGTTATCTTTTTAACTTCATTCATTGTACGAAGTAGGACTCGGAACCGAATAGGACTGGGCATTTTCGAATACCTGATGATTTCAGAATCGAATCGAATATTTTTTCGAATCAAATTGAATCTCGAATACTTGGGAGATTTATAATCGTATGTAACTTTCTTATTGTATTGGGTCCTTCAGACACATAATCTACTGAAAACATAGAATACATCATCACTCAGACAGATTGCTGAGCGTTCACACACGATAAAAAACACGTTTCCATCAATAACTCACTACAGAAAAGCGTCATATGTCCGAAAAAAATTGAAAGTTTGAGATCTTCGACCCAGTGGTAGATAGAAAAAAAAATGATGGTGGCGATTCGAAATTTTGCTCTGAACTGATTCGAATATCAAGGGTTGAAATCATGTTACTCCTCTATTACTATACAAGGCGAAATTTTGTTTTATAATAACTGTATTTCACTATCCCATTAATCAATACGTTAAACCTAATATTTCACCTTCTTGTATTTTTTATCCGGTGCATAGACCTATCAGGTGGCGATCTTCTGCTGTTGACCGCATCGCTCTCTGTTCTCTCTCGTGATTGTGCTCGTTCATTTACTGCAGCAAATACACGACTTTCAAGTTGTGACAATGCATCACGTGGTTTATTTTTCATAAATTCCTGTATGAAAGAAAATGTAAGTTTTTGGTGTCAGAAAGAACATTGTTGCAAAAGTAACACACGACTCAAGATTATGAACACTTTCTTCTTATAAGAACTTAAGTTATGTCGACTTCATTATCCCCAAAATGTTTTGCTGCTCGTATTTACTTCAACTTCAAGTCTAGTGAAAACTGATATTTGTCAGTGTGCATGTACCACCATAAACCTATGTAGTTTGATTTGCTCTAGATATTTCAGTGGTCGCCCGGAGATGATTCTTCTTTACTTCTTAGTGAGAGCGGCTGACGTTGGTTTGAGCACATTCTCTTTAAATAACTGTTTCGATTACACGTTGGCTATTTCATCTGACTTCAAATAAATATTTATTCTGGGTTCCGGTGGGGTTCCAAAAATCTATTATAACCATTATCCACTCTGCAACGGTGAATCGCGCGTGCTTCATTTATGTTAAGACGAGTATGAAATATACAATATACAAATAGGTTTCCAATTTTTAATTTACCTTGTTCTCATCGTAACTTATATCACTGCCACTACATTTTGTTTGTGATGTTTTGAAGGAGCGACTTGGTGATGATGGTTCGTTACAAGTATTTTCCGATTCATTTGTATTTCCTGAGGTCTAAAAATAAGAAGGTTAAAATTAAACTATATGATCACACACGGAGTAGTGGGCATATGGTAATACCACGCACTGGTGGGAGGATTGGTATAACTTGAACACGATGAAAACTACAATATAATGAAGTCGTAAAATAGCCGCTTGGAAAAATCTTAATTGGGGAGCGGCTTGAGATTATTATAGTTTAATGCGTGGGCTGACAGTGAGGCTTCTTTTATTAGTATTCGTTCTAACATAGTTTCTAACGTATAAAATGCATACGTGATTCTCTAAAAATAATTTCTTAATATAATATAGAAAGAGGTTTGTCACGCACAGCGTGTGGTCTAAATTTATTGCCGAAATATTATACTGAATTTGTTCTGTCCCAAAATGTTTCAAGTATGGTCGATGGTTTTTCATAAAACATTGCATTCTCAAAACCAATGAAATCTACATACTATGACTCAACATGGATAATATCCCGGGTATAAACTGTTTAGTTTCAAAACAATATAAACTGACCACTCAACATAAATTGGACTCCCGCCGTAATCAACAATCTGTTTCGATTATACATTCTCATGAAATTTGTGGGTGTTCTCTTTACCAGATAATATATATAATGTGATCGATAAACATGGCATCAGTTCACATGTACCATTTATATATTTTATCGGCTTTAAAGCGCGATGTGATCACTTACGTTGCTTTCGAACCCCGCATCGTCTGGTGATGTAATTTCAAGTGAAAGACGTTTTTTCTTTCGCCGTTTCAATGTGTAGGCAGTGAGAAATGCCCCTCCGATTATAGAATTGATTTCAGAAGCCTTAAAAGGAGAAAAATATGATTACTACCAAAATCAGACAGCAATTCCATATGTATTTGCATTAACTCTATCGAAAATGACCATACATTTGTATATAGCTATCAAGTGATTTTCTGACATAAAAGTACCTGTTGTTGTGGGTTCGTTCAAAAGCGAACCCTGTTCTTAAAATTTTGAATCACATCACTCGCCATGAAGGACCATTATAAATAAAAATATATACGAACGTATTATACATTGTTGGAAATTAAAAAAAAAGTACAAAATAAAAGTGCTGAAGAAGCGAAATTGCCTTGAAAACATATCTTGATATATCTAAATGCTTCTTTCTGAATATTCCCAAAAGTTTAAATATTAATTTCGATGAATTGAGCACACATTTCGAACCAGCTATAACCACATCCAATATTAGCAAAATAATCTTATAGTGTTGTATCACTTTTTGAGACCACAATTTTGCGAATATTATTTATTTATTTTATGAACGTCAAAATAAAGTCTGAATCATATCTTGCTATTTATTCTGGACGCGCGTATACAAACAATGACGTAATATTAGAAGCTGTGGATAAGGCACGATAAAGAACGGCTATCTGAATACTTCGATTTAATACTAAAGAAAACATAGATAAATCAAATTCGTCATTTGTCCACAAAGCTTGCGATTTTACTTTGAAAGTTACTTTTAACTGAAGTGATAGAACAGTTTGTTCGCGCAAAAAAAAACCAATACCACTGAATTTGTCCAAATATGTCAAGATTGGCCATACCAAATGTGTAATGCCACTTTGCGTGGTTAAAATAGTGCTATATCCATATATCGTCACGCTAATAACCGAATTGCGTAAGTCATTTTTAGCAGTTTTGAGAAAAACGTAAAAAACTTCCTAATGATATTGCTATGCCATAGAGAGTCAATCATTTGCCATAGTTTGATTTTTTGATCGTAGCCTGATTTAAGTTAATCTGTATGACGCAGTTAAGTGACGTCAAAATGGCGCACTGTGACTTAGGCAGAAATGTGTCTATGACTTGGGGACATGCGCATTTTTGCAACTTGACTATATGCACCAGTCCTGAAAACCAAACAACCAAAAAACGAATGTAATTCTTAGTATCTACGATGTCTAATCCCCAAAATAGCTAATCTGTTTCAATTACATTATTTTTTTTGTTTAAAAATATATATTTCACCACTATAACACGTTCTACACACCCAACGAAATAAGACTAAGATAAAATATAAAGAATAAAACAGCAATGTCCCCTTATATAGTAGCCAACCAAGGTGAATTAGACTCAGACGGTGAATATCACAAGTGCACGCTTTTTTCTATACTATAAACTAGAATCTGAGATGCAAAAACTCGAAAATCCATAGCGAGGTTATTTTACCTTTGTGACGTCACAATAGCTCTGCGTTAACAATGATAATTCATTATGACGAAACAATTAAACAAATTTGCATGTCATACAAAATCTCAATTTTTAAGGGTTTTGGAATTCTTAAAATAAAATCTGAGTTAACAGACAGATGCGCAGCATTACATAAATACCTATTTTATAAAAAACTCAAAACCGCCAAAAATGACTTACGCAATTCGGTTATTAGCGTGACGATATATTAATATAGTTTATCCATTCAATACTTGATCATTTACCATGTATGTGACAATAATGATTTTATCGAGATGATGCGATTTATCTATAGCACATGTTTGTCAGTGTATGATTTACCAAACATTTTTAAATGACGTGGGAAAGTCGTTCTTGTTGTCAATAGTTCTATGATTAATTCAGGTTGCCGCAACCCATTCATTATAAGATTGATATAAAAGACATATCCGGTTTCGGATCATGTATGCTTCTTCAAGAACCAAATAATCTATGAAATATGCTCCAAATATATATATATATATATATATATATCCACAGATATCGCCACAGAAAATCACTCCATTCCATTCAGCAATGATTAATTCTCAAACGTTAGTTGCTATATATCTTCCCATTCAACCACAAACAGCTCATAGTACTTTGGAAGGTTGCTCGCAACTTGATACATAAATTTTTGCAACTTTAGATGAAAACCCAAGGTTAAATTTTATTTATATTCGTTTATCTTTTATTCATAATAAGTTTAAATTTTTCAGGTTACGACTCTTATTGTTATATGGCATAATAAAATAAAATTTCAACTAAACACGTTCTAATCTAATATTTGTCCATTTTTGATGACTTCAACACATCACTGATGGTAAAATACAAAAATCAAATATCGAATTTTCTTCCTTACTTGATAGGCATAATTGCGTGTCATTATCTATCATTTGTAATGGCTCCAAAACAAAACACGTGATATTTTGAAAAATTATTTGTATAAATAAATAACTGTAAAGTGAAGATATAGAATGCTATAGCCTATAGTGGTATTTATTTTGCCGGTATTGGGTATCACTGAATAAAGTCCGAGTGGGATTACGAATATTTCGAAAGATGTCCAGTGTATGATAGACCTAAATCTTCAAAAAATAAACCATCTAAAACTGAGAAAGGTTGTTTAATGTTTATGGTGTGAACCGCGCAGTGATTACATTGTGATCACAGCTTTGAATACATTTGGGAAAATACGAAACCACTGGAGATTCAAGACACATTTTTATTTTTTGACTATGAATGTAGATTATTCGGTACTCCCGTAGTGTGTGTACCAGGTTAGGGTTAGGCCAAAATTTTATTCCGATTTTCCTTATTTTAGTTCTATTACGATTTCGGGGGCTGTCTGTGTTATAGTCAAGTGAATTTACCTCCTGACCATAGGTTTCAGTCCCTTCGCACAACTTCATGTCAAATGGGCAAACAAAATCAGTTACCTTCATATTGGTACACACACTTCCGGAGCGCCGAATATTCTATCCAGAGATTCAAATTCATCGTATTAAGAATGTTTTGGTGATAAACAGATGTTAAGAGGATTTTTTTTGCACACGAACAATGCGTGTTTATAAATTTGTCTACTTTAAATAGACTAGTTTTGCCCTTGCCGCCTTACATTTTCATTTGTGCACGTCCGTTTTGTACTGAAATGTTTATTAATTTGGTTAGATATTTGGTAGATTTGACTAAACTTCTCTCTGGCCAACTATCTGACAACAAAGAACGCATTCAAAGCGATGGTGCGATTATGCGGTAGCCGGAGATAATGTTTAGTAATCGGGAAATGAGGAACAAAAGCTTTTATCCTAAATTTCCCCGGGGACCACGGATGGTAATAATACTTGCTAAAGGATTAAGTGTCAAACAGACGTTTATTTTATTTACTTTCAAATAATTGAGCAGGTGTGAATGATGGTTATGACATTATCATATAAAGAGTATTAATGTGAGAAATCCTATGAAGGAGTTTGTAACAAAATATTTGTTATTTTTTTTTAAATCTAAGTCGAAATTTCCTTGATTACCAAACTCAAACTTCTCGTTATAGTTAATTTTGAATACGGTATTTAGAAAGCTCATTATAATGAATTGTCTAATACATAGTATTTTCCTATATGTATCTCGTCTCGTCTTGTTTAATGATTTGGTGGTGACAAAATCTATGCATGTGTGCTTTAATTCTATTTCGTGATTGTGATCTAACAGGCCATTCGCCTCCATCCAACACATTTTGGAGAGTTTAACAGTGTAGAAATCTTTTTCGCCTTCATTATGTTGCATCTTGTTAACGGTAACAAATACTGAAAAAATGTTACTACACTTACATGTTCTGTTCTAAATGTATGACAATATTGGTTCGTTAGAGGTTCGCCTGGATTCCTCGACACGAAAGCCAGAATATGTTCTTGGGGAACGCAAGTCGTGTATGATATCCTTCGCAATGCATGCGACATATACGTTTCCTGTGTAAAATGAAAAAATGCTTGAATAAATTATAAAAAAACAACATAAACGAATTTGATACAACACCTAAGAAAAGAGGTTGATTAGCTAAATTGATTATACATAATATTAAAATTTAACTTATCACAGACAATTAAATTGCCATTTTGGAAGAGTTACCATTTTAACATTTAAAATAAAAAGGCGTCAATTGTCGAATATTAATTGTTTAATTTCAAACGTTTTAGCAAAATTTCGGTGAATATTATCATGAAAGCACTGCTGAATGATAACTCACATTATTGAATTCCTCGGGAGAAGTCTAGAATTCATATTAATTTGGACACATATATATGCTCTAATTCTTAAGGTTAATTAAATTTGAACTACACCGTTACGTATATATAATTCAATATTTTCCCATAAGTTAGTATTAGATAACCAACCAAAATTTCTACAGTAATTCGTCGTGCCTATATGGCTATAGAATGGCTGACGTGATAGATCGATATTTCCAGTAGCCGTTTTATTTGGCATCATCTTTTTTAAATGGATTTAAATAAATGGAAACGTCCGTTAGATAGGTTATCTATCTATTGCTTATGTCGATAATATTGTATTTTTGACCAATTATTGCAGGCACCTTACACCCCAAATTAGAAACGATTTTTCATACAATGCTATTCCGCCGTGAATTTTATATTAAAATTTGAAACTCTTTTCGGCTGACGCGGACTTCGAATATTGCTGACTCAAGTGCTGACTATACATGCTATTGAGAAAAGTCTTTAGAGTATAAATTAGCGTGCAAATTTTTTTGTTTAATAGGAGTATTAAGCAGGTATTCCAGAATATGCAAACTTGCAGAACGTAGAATAAATGCAAATATTCGGCGATGACGTTTGATACCGTATAACGATAAAAGCAATATGACATAGATAGAAAAAATCGCTGACACTGCGGCTATTCATTTTATCATAATATTTGAGACGAAGAATAAACGATTCACAATAGCGTTAGAACTTATGACACTATTTACGTTTTTATTTTAATGATATTTCTTGTTCACAGTATTCACATAAAATAGTTGGAGGAAATCAATATACAGCGGCCCTGTTCTGTCATATGACTCACAAACCAGACACATGAAACACAAAAACTTCATGTTCGGTTCCAAAACATGTCTTGCTCAAAAAGTAATTTTTATCTATAAAACAGACAAGATGAAAAAAACAGTAACTGTAACACAAATTCCTAAAAAATTGACTAGTCTTGAAGCAATGAATAGCATATTTATTATAAACCAAGGATAATGGATGCTAGAATAAGATATTTTTCTGATCTTTTCCACGCACCTTCATTGTAGGATCACATATCTTCACACCACCCAATGTCATGGCAATGCAAACCATCTTCAACTTTGCTGGTTCACCTTTCTGTAACATAAATAAAAATAAATTCCATATTAGGCAGGTTAGACGTGTGATGTGGAAGTACTGTGTTTGAGAAAATATTATCCAATATATATCGATATAGAAATTAGTAGCCTGAACTTTATCATGTAATCACTTGGCAGTTGACTTGGTTTTCGCGCTTGTTGTCGCGTCCATGATTGACATGGCGTCCTTTGAATGATCACGTGCAACGGTGTTATGGAATGCGTACTAAATAATGCATTGAGTTTAACTCTGAACAATCTTTTTTCAGCTTGCGGTTGTGCAAAGCTAAAGAACCACAGACTTAAATGGATTTCAAAAGTGGGTTTTATAGCTTTGGCCCGTCGAGTATTTTAAGCAAACGATAGAAACCAAAATCGCCCAGTAAAAAGTGTTCTGTTAATTCAACGGGAAGGAATCTAAAATCAAATCGAGAACAGAGAAATTTGTGTTTATTTGCTGCTAAGGCCCACTTGCAAAGTGTATCGAGATGCTGATCTGCTCATTTATCTCAACAGCGTATGGTTTTGGACCGTTCAGAACTGGAAATCGAAATGTTTTGTTTTCAGGCTGATCATTATAAATCTTTGGTTCCTTTCCTAGTTACGGCAAAAACTAGTGACACTTAGACATATAACACATAATAGAATAGAGCGGATGTGCATTTTATGACAATTTACATCGTGCATTTTCTAAAGTTTCAAACGTATAAAATTCTGCTATCCAGTACCAGAAACCCCACATTAAAAGTTTTTTTTTTCATATTTACTCTTGACAATTTTGATCAATTCAATGTGAAAGGTCAAAGCCTAATATTTTGAGTAGATTAAACAGTGCAAAATGTAATATTAAACTGGCGTCTCACGGTCTTTTTATTTACGTTGACGGTAAAGTTCGTAACGTCGAGGCGTATAATTGCAATGAAATTGTCGAAAGAGAGGTCAATCGTCAACTGATTTGGAACAAAAATAGTCTGGCAAATGATTTGCGCAATTTCAATGCGATGCCCCCAGGGATGCCAACCTATGGTCTGCGATCTCGCACATTTTATACTCAATCGGCCTCGACCCAACACCATATCGTGCTTCCATATGGATGGTTTGTTAGGCCCGCGTCAAGGCTAGCGTATTTCGAATTGAATTTACCGCGACGTTATCGCAATGATATTCCCAATCGTCTAAGAGGATGTTTCCCATATACATATTCGACTACCGTGTATATAGATAACACTCCAATAGTCGAGGTCAACTTGTTAGTACCTCGTAATGCAATTACATGTAAAATTGCCTTGTATAGCAACACGTGCTTTAGTATCAAAACCATACAAACCGCCTGGAAATGAAACGGCTGATAAATTAAGAGTTGATGCGCTGTATTAAATTCTAAAGTGATACGGGTGTTGAAAAGACCTATGATTTCACATGGAAGAGAAATCCATATTTCATTACTTGCTTTTCTGGGTATGCCTAAGAGCTGAATAAATTTTGTCCAAATACAAATATATGATGTAGAAAGTTTACCATGATGCCCAAATTTAGAATTTCGTTCAATTTTCAAAAACTCATTATATCAAACACACGTGATAATTAGTCATGCAGAAGTGAAATTAAATTTCGATCTGAATGCACGTAATTACGTCATTTTATGTTCGCAACAAGGATCTTATGCAAGCGATTGACAAAATGTTAGTTATACCACTCTTCTTGGTTCATGCCATCGTTGGCCAGTAATGCTAAACAGAATTTATTGACAAATCATAGATAAATGTACGGTCATTAAGGATCACATTTTTATACATGGTCTTTACAGCGCTCTGTGTAGAAGGAATGAAACCGACTTTATATGATTAATGTTACTACCACGTATGGTAATAAGAATGATACGATTAGAAGTCTGAACACAGCTGGATCGAAATGACGTCATCCTGAGTATCGTCAGTGCTGACTAATGTAAAGTAGGGCATATTTACCGATATCAATTCCAATTGCTTCCCGACGTAGGTGGCCCGTTCTTCCGGTGTTCGGCCAGTGACGGGAAACGATCCCAAATACTGTAAAATATGCAAAACAATGATGATATTATTCAGATGATCGTTGTACCATATGATACAAAGAATGGTGTTTATATAAACATCACCTCTTTTACTCGCTATAGCAATGGCCCATAATTGTTCGTCTATATACAGACAAGCCTCGTTTATGTCATTCGCATGTTGAACGCAGTCAAAATGGTAGCTTTGGACACACAATTTTGTGTTGAGACTCATGTACGGCCATGACCACTTGCGAATTCAAGGATATAAGTGTATGAGGTGAACCCTTATAGTACACCAAGATTGCAACTATTGCTTGCTTAGCAGAATGATAACTTGGTCGACATTAAATACACAAAGAAAAAAAGGAGATTTCTGTAACAAAACTTCGCTCACAATACCGCGATCAAAACTTTGATATCCAGCGGATTTTAGGTAATGAAAAAGGGGATAAAGAATGGTCCCTGTTTTGTTAGCATTTCAAAGCAAATTGCTTGAACTCGAATTGCCGCAAGGTTAGAAGGGTTTAAAGTGCTAATTAAAATGTTGCCGTTGAATATTATAATTGTTGTTTACGTGTGAAAATGTGAGCTGCCAACAGGCAATAAAATACTTATATATATAATTAAAATTATTTTATGAGGTTGACAGGAGGACAGAATATTTAAAATGCAATGTTGGAAAAATGTAACGTTGAACGTCACTTGCACATTTACCAACTTCTACATGATCGGATTTTTGCAAGTTGCAAGAAATATGCAAAGTTTGCAATTAGACGTGACAAAAGAATTCGTGAAAGCTTGTCTTAGAACGTATCTTCAAAAGTAGTAAACCATGATAGGACCATGTCAGATCTATCTTGACAAAATGTTCAATAAACACTTTATTTTTGAACACTTATCAAAACCGATAATTTGATTGTTTCAAATCAAACTTTGATTTATTTTATTATCTGCTGTTATGCATTCATCAGACTATTTCATGTGATGTTTCACACCATGAATTTGGACAATTTTGGGCAAATCAGCCACTGATTCGCATCCGTGTAAATATTTTATAAGGATCAGCATCGTCTACTCTCTTTATCAAACCATACAGACAGAAAGTAATATTGTATGGTGGTAGGAACAACTTAGTCACCCTCATAGCTTACTTAGAATTCCTCAATCTAAATGATATTTTTAGATTCAAAACAATGTTTTACAGCAGCTGGCTGACAGTGTCAAATGATGAATCGATGACACATTTACCTGAAGTGGAATGCAGCACACATATAAAAGCCACTTCACAAGGAGAATGCTGGCGATCCATGTGCTTAAGCGTATTCGATCTGAGAGCTTGGTTTTTACCAAAATATAAGTTACCCATGTTCACATATATTTATTCATTTCCACATAAGACTTTGATAACCTTACCTCGGCTATTCTAGGTGCAGTTTCATCGGGAAGAGGCTTAATCATATCATGTAGCATGTTTCCTTGTGCGGCCTGTTTTTCCTCTTTAGAAGTTGTCAAATTAGTTCCAAAGTCTTCGTCCGCGGTTGATAAATCCTCCATTATATAATGAAATTCCTAGTTTTAGTGGCAGTTACTGATAATATAATAGGTAACAATTTAGATTTTTATCTTTGCAAAGCGTTCCCAGACAAATCTAACCGGCTACCCGATTTCAGCAGCATTTACTACACTTTTCAGATAATAATTTTTGTTGATGAGAACGTTTTCAGATCGGTAAAGCCGGACGTAGCATATAACAGAACTGATGTTTTACAAGTAACTTAACCAACTATCACTTCCCGGAACAAACGACGTGTTCAATTAGTATTGATAAAGTAAGTATACGACTTGAGAAACGATGTCATTAATTTTGACTACTGGCTCTTCAGAGCATATCTATCAATTGTTTTAACGTGTATCACGCTTGATCAACAAACGAAAAATTCCAAAGTAGTGTCGCCAAGTCAGTTTGCTAAGTCCACTGTTAGACGTGTGATGAACCAAACGGTTTCCGTCATGTGACACGTCTGTACGCTTTGTGCAATGTTGATCATGCTGCATAAGTATCCGTAACATACCAAATAAATCAATTCAGCCTGGTACCGACATCCTAGAATTACCAATCGCATATTCATGAGTTGTTGGCAAGTTATGTTGTTACCAAACTCCATTTAAATACAACAAATCAGGCCAAATCAGGCTTTTTAGAAAAACTATCTCTTACTACACTGCAGCACTGTGAAATGGTGGCAAATCACGTTTGCTAAACAAAGCAGACAATCTCGATTGCAGCTTGAGCTCTTTGGTCTAAAAACTCTATAATAAGTAACAACAATCACATCTGGCGAACTTCCTTCTAACAAGTGTAACATTTTCATGTTTGTTTTCAGTTTGATCTAAACACGGCGATCGACCCAACACAAAATTATTTTCCGCGAAACGAATGAACTTATTGTCGAGAGCGTCGGAGGTCTAATACCGCTTCTTCAGTTACCGACAATATTATTAAATCTAATTTATATGCGACAGCCCTGAAACGGCAGAACGGCATAAATATTTTTCATTGGTGCGTTTAGTTCTAGCAACAAGTAAAATTACTTTACGCAACGCACGAACGCAAAATATGTTTACATATAAAATATATTTAAAAGATAAACATATTTTATTACTAAATTTAAAATTGTACATGTTAGTTTTCGAAACATTCCGAATGTAAAATCGACAAAACATAAGTGCGCCTGATTTCTCGATTTCCTTCGAACAAATCTCACTCTACCTTACCTAAGTATTTCAGCATCTAAACCTCGCTAATACTTGTAATAATATTTCATTATTGTTCTAAGTTGCGACATCCGTCCAGAAGAATATTTCAGGAACGCTATCCGCATAGAGTTCGTCACTAACAGCGACAAGCAGTACTCGACGAAACTGCAATTTGTGCGTAATATTTCTCGATATCGTCAAGGCGCGTGAGTCATAACGAGCGTCAATGCCGGCAATAAACTAGGAGGCAATTGCCTGATTTAGCGACATTAGCATCGATATAATCAAACGATGTAACTTTCTCTTTCGCCACATATGAATGACAAACGATTTTATGAATAAAAATATTCAACAATAATATTTGACGCAAGCGGACAACTCAATTTTCTTATTACTTCATAGTTAAGGGCAACGCCGATGTAGGCAAAAACGCAAGATCACGCTAACTTGCTATATGCTTTTTGTTCAATTGCGTTATTGCCACATATTTCTCATTTTATGTGATTCTTATTACGACGATGCGTACTATATTGTTATTGTTTTGCCACTAAAGTTAGGTTAGGACAGGTTATGTTAGATTACGTTATAACCTACTCTAACTAAGATAAACCGAATTACAGAAAGTGTTTGGTGGAGCAATACCAGAATAGTACGCATTATTAGTTAGACTTTGCGTTATGTGTTTAGTTGAAACAAGTTAAGGCCATCGTTTTATAGATAAGACGTCTACATTCAGCTTTGTACTGAAAACGAGCCAGGACTTCTTGCCGATTGGAATTACTAAATATTACTCGAGAAAGTCTATTATTATCATTATTAGAAAAAATAATACCAAGATTTACAATAACAACGGTGTATCGTGTTCAATCACATCTAATATTTTCCACAGAAAGATCATATTTGTTTTTCATTATATCCATTTAACTAATTCATTTAAAATTGATCGTAGATTAACCTGATGAATCGAGTGGCTCTTTGCTGGTCTCTAGTGGGCGATATTGATTTTAAGGTCTTCAAGGCCATAATATAGTAGAGTGATTGTATATAAGAGTCATAATGTTACCACGATTACCGTTAGGTAAAGACCGTTAGCTAACTATATTCAGATATAACAATTAGGTATTTTGGGAAGGAAGACTACGGGTACTGTAAAAAATTGATACTTGGGCCTTGGGACACCGTGTGTCATTCTGCAAGACGAGTCCAATACCTTTGTGACTATCTCTGTGCTCAGATGACCTCGTCAGGTTGTGAACTTGTGACCAGACTTGATTTGTAAATTTGATTTCAAACATTTGAGTGATCACGTGATAGGTTTCGGTGTGAATCGCACAGACTCTTGTATAGTGGGATTTGACATATTTGAGCAGCTACCTCTTGTCTCTTCTGAACTTGTTGTGAAATAATGTTACTGAATACTAATCTCATTCAAATATTAACCCTTTGCTACAGTAATGTACTGCTCAGTTACCATTAATAATAACCGACAACCTTAAAGTAGCATTTTTGTATACTCCCGTAGTATGTGTACCAGGTTAGGGTTAGGCCGAAATTTCATTCTGATTTTCCTCTTTTTTAGTTCTATCAGGAGTTCGGGGACTGTGTATGTTAGCCAAATGAATATCCCAGCTCATAGGTTTCAGTCCCTTCGCACAACTTGATGTAAAACAAGTGAACAAAATTAGTTACTTCCATATTGGTACACATACTTCTGGAGCGCCATTATTGCAAGACAAATCGCTCCTGACTTCTCTTTTTTTTTTTCTACTGCAGCGGTTTCCAAGTTGTGGGTAACTATTAGGTAACAATAGAGCTATAGCATTACTTGCTGCAATTTTGTGAGTGATTTTTTCAGTATTTTTAAGGAAAATCAGGCAGAGATAAAGAAGAAGAGTTGACCTTTTGTCTTTTTTTTCGTATGCCTACATGTTTACAAACTGTAAAAGCCACGAAGTGCTCATTCAGAATCACAAAATAGAGTTTTATTCAAAGGAAGAATTTTTTCTCGCGTAAGATCGCCGTGGGTTTTTCCCCTGATAATTTGGTGCCTCAGGAACAAAAAGTTTGGCAACCGCTATCCTATTGCATTACTGACTGCCCTCGTTGACGTAAGGCTAGCTATTTTTCTTTTATCACCTCACATTTGTTTACCTCGTTACTTGATTTCTGTTTACAAACGTTCCTTCATTGCTTACTGTATGCCTGACTATTGTCCTCGACTACCCGCCCTTGTCATATTTAATATGCTAACCTTAACCTCTTTCCATCCCTGGTCCGCTTCTCGATCCTGGTTAGTCGTCATACTCTTTACACACAGTCTCTCAGTACAAATCGTTCTCCACTGTGATATTCGAACACACTCTTATACCTCGCCTAATATATTACCGTATGGGATCAAATTATTACTTCTTTATCAGATTTTTATTGAAGTTAAACTTGGCGACCAGGCATAATCACTTTACTAATTGCTTATCCACTGAATGCTTGCTTGCTTCGTGCAAATAATATGATATCGTCTATTTAATTTTCGATCGGTTCGATTCAGTGTATTTATAACAATGTACTTAACAATCTATTCGAATGGTAAAAATCACTGTATATAAGTATTTCAATAGAGCTTCCTAGACGATTAAAAGAATTTGTAGCGATACCATAAACACTCATTGTAAACAAGATGAGACGCGCACACTTCCAAAATCTAGGAAACTTGTCTTAGTCCAATAGTGCTTTGAAGTCATTCAGATATGAACTTGAACAATATATATATATTAACACTCATATTCAAATCTTGTTTCATTTGTTTATTATTGACAAGAAGCAATGTTAGATCAGACGAATTTTCATTTCACTTGATGACAGATGTGTACCATGTGGCCAGTCGAAATCAGTATTGTACCTTCCATTCAAATTCGAATAATAGCAAGCATTATACCACCACGCCCCATGAAAATGCACTGCACAATTCAGAGTCGTGTGCTTATCGTTATCCATATCAAAAGTTGAGAAAACGTGACCACTATGGTGAGTCATTCGATCATCAGTGTCGCCAGAATACCCTGACACTGTCAGTTTGAACTTGGAGTTTTCATTTCCTACTGCCAACGAACTAAAAATAAATTCATATTACAACTTATAAGCCACGGGTGAAATTGAAAACAAATTTAATAATCATTTTCGGAAGGCATTAGGTTTTGAAAATAGATAAATTGGAAAACCTAATCTTCAAGAATTGTATATATATTTCTACCTGTATTCAGCATATTTTACGGAACCACTTTGAAAGTTGAGATCAATTCGAAGTTGAAAGTTTCCATGACTGGTAATTTGATGTAAAGTCCTCAGACCTACAAAACAAAAACAATAGGGAATTAATAAAAGATTCTCTTTTTTTTGCTGAATTCCCTTTCGCCAAACAGTTTCACTGACGGTTTGACCTAATTCTCGGATCAAAAGCTGTCTGATAAAATCTCTGTCGATATGGTAATTCTATTTATGAAACTCGAGGCGTCAGGGGTATAGTTTGAATCTCTCTTTACGTATTCTTTTATCTTTTAGTCGCGAACATGGAATAATGTTTGAGGAAATCCAGTCTAAACAACTAAAAATATGCCATTTCACACTGATAACAAGCAGTGTTGGGTAATCTCAAGTCAGTAAATCTACTTTTTTTAAACATTAGGAGTGACTCAAACGTTCTAAACAATTAGACTTTCCAGCAACTTTTTTAAAATTTTCTTCCGCACAGGGCTTTTATAGGTTCAACGTTTATTTCTAACGACGCGTTGTACTTTGGGTCAACGGTCGACCCGCGATTTTAATAACTAAATCCGGTTATTTAGAAAAAATGTCCGATACAAAGTAAAATGGAAATTTCAGGTGTTATTGTGACACAAATTTATTCATTTTGCTGATGTTTACAATATCTGCGATGACTCCGACTCGAGATTACAATGACTCGACTGACTTGCGACTCGGGGGTGCTGCGACTTGACTTGGAACTCGAAGCTGGAAAATGGCCAAGACTCGTAATGCCCGCTACTCGACTTACCAACCTATTCTATTAAAATCGTACAACGCACAACTCACCGAGCCAAAACTCTCCATTTCTTTTTCCAAATCCTCTTGCATAAGTTTCCCAATCTTTGTAGAAGTCGACGGACCCATTGTATCTTTTTTGAATGATCTTTAGAAAAAAGGTAATTAATTGATCGAACTAATTATCGCCTGGGATTTTGCTTAATCATTTATTTACTCATTCTTTTATCTTATGTTCCGATAACGACTCATAATATAATATGATACTTATTTATTTGAGTTTGTTCTTTTTTGTTCCTCCACATCTTATAAATGCATAATTTAAATTGCATCTATAAATTATCTTTAATTGCGAAATGATAATAAAAGATAATACCAGATGAAAGTCAAGTATTAATATTGACCGAACATACTTACGATCCAACCATCACTGTCCACCTGATACAAGTTACAGTTCACCAAAACATATGTCAGGTTTCCAATATGTTTAAACGGATATACTTTAGTCAACTCTTCAGATCTTCCATCATCTTTATTTAAAAGCATTTGATATTCTCCGCAGTTTGAAGGAAGTGTAATCAGATTTAGCTGGTCTGAATTGATCAATGAAGTATTTTATGTTGTTTTTATGTTTCTAGTTCTACCGATTAAACTGAATAATCTAATAATTGTCAGGCTTAGAAGATATACAGCCTGGAAACGATTTCAAAAAAAAAAAAAACGAAATAGCTATACGTGAAAGTTGGAAACTATATGCTACATTGGGTATATTGCTATCAGTTTAGCGCATTCTTCATTGTTTTGTTGCTTTACCACCCACCTTGTAACTTTTCAAACTGCAAGTTCATTGTTTTTCTCAAATTTCTCATCGCATCTTCGTCGGCAATATCGCATTGACAAGGATTACCCTTTTCACCTCTTTCCCCCTTTTCACCAGCTGCACCCCTCTTGCCAGGTCTTCCTTGCGAAGCTTGAGTACCGGTATTTGGTCGTGTATAGCCATCGTCCCCAGGTTGACATAGAGTCGTTGTTGTGGTACAAGTGTAAGGAGGAGACAAAGTTTGTTTCTGAGCATGAGTACATGCAATGCACAAAATTACGAGTATGATATCAAATGCTTGAGAATCACCCATTGTAGTAAATCTGACTATTAGGCCGCGAGCCGAGGCCCTGAAAAACGCCTAGAAAGTGAGTTTCGTAGCGCACATCAGGTAACTACCTGAAAATGATTTTAAAATGTTCCTTAAAAATTTAGTAACAAATATTGCCTTGTTCCCACTTCCAAAAGTTGCACGTTTTATGGAAAAGACGCTTTTACTACAAGAAATATGTGCTACGATCTGTCCTATATTCTCTACATTTTCGGCACTGAACAATGACTTCTGCATGACGTAACAATTGAATTAAACCAGCTGTTAGCGAGCGGATGAATATTAGTTATTTCTGCTCGACCTTGCGCTGAGTTGGGCAGGCTTTCCATAGCCCTGTTTAGTTATTATTAGTTAAGTTATGCTAAGACGTTGTTGAAAAATGTATAAGTAAATTATTAAACACTTGTAGATCCTTACCACGGATATGGGCCGTGAGACGAAACCATGAAAACGCCCAGAAAATGAGTTCCGTAGCGCACATCTGGTAACTAAATAAATTCTTCAGTTTTGTGTGAAAACGAACATAATGAACGCATTACAGCTTGTTCCACAATCCTGGTGCGAAATTGAATATAAGAGGTTCCCGGAAATTCAATAACCATAAGTTTACAACGCATACATAGAACATACAATTCGAGAGCCCTACAGCACACTAACACAAATGTATTCCTGTAATGTTTTGCCTGACCAAAATCGGACTTCCTCAGTCGATCATAATTTATTAGGTAGATTACGAAAAATATGGCATACATGTAACCAACAACAAAAAATACTTTAATTGTGTGACAGGAGTCGGGAGTGACCTCGAAAGCAGCGACACCAACAACGCTGATTCACATTTGAGAATAAATTTTATGTAATAACCACAAGCAGTTTACAACAAGAACAGCATAAAAAGCTATCAAGTATCAAACGTATTTATTTTTAAGCAATGAAGTCACAAATTAACATCGTGAGCACGAAAACACAAATAAATCAGTTATTTCTCACTTAGAAATTTACCGCAAAAGTCAAGAAAATTAAATGAATGTACAATATGTACATAACATAGTGAACAGAAATATTACAATTTACAATTAATCTTTTTTTAGTTTATGTGGTTATGTATTTGAACAAAGGCAATAATATTTCTAGAAACAGGACTACGACACTAACAAATGTCCGAAAAACAAACAAATGTATGATACTTATTAAATCAACTGTAATATCTAATTCACTTTCTTCTGAATTGTTTTCGAAATCCACTATCTCAAAAATCGACTTTTCCTCTATAGGTGTACTGTGATTTCTGCAGTCAATACAAAAACAAAAATCTGTGCAATTTAAGTTGATTTTAGCACACTTTCATAAATTATTTTGACTATTTTTCTTTGCAGTTTGCCAACTCAAGAACTGATTTGAGGGCCACATGCTTCTTCAGTGAATCATTGTTGGGTGGAGAGTATAATCCTTATGTTTGACAGTGTTAAATAGACGTGCCCTGGTATCATTTACATACTTCATATCCTCTTCAAATTCCTCAGCTTTATTTATTAATACCTCGTTAACCTCAAAAGATCTTCATAGTCGAGGGAAAAAAATGAATTGAAAATCTCAATGAAGTCTCCAACATGAATTTGATGGGCAGTTCCAATTGCAGAAAAGTGCTAAAGTATTTCAATATGAATAGCCCATCTAAGCTGTTTGCAACTATTATGATTCTCATATACCTTTAAGCTTCAAGACTTCTTGTTCAATTCATTTTATAGCACTGATAGCAGCAGGGATCAGAGCCTGCGTTAGGTCGGATTGGTGGAACATTGCCGTTTTCTTTTGTAGTACAGTATCTAAAATAAGGAAGAAAATAATATTTGGAGCAGCATGATTTTAAAAATACCCCTAAATACTAACTAATACCTTGAATACATAATGCATTTTATCTGATGTACTAAATGAGCGTATATATGCTCATTGCATGTTCTACAGTCCAGCAGTGTTTGCATACCATTACTAGACTATATCTACACTAAATTTTGATATATCACAGTCTGAAATGTCCTATGACAGTATGAGTACCGTATGGACTATAGACTATATTTTGAAACATCAACTGTTTGTCTACAACTTCATTTCTCACCTCTCAATCATTTCCAATGCTACCTTTCTTTCCACTCCGGCATAACTTATCATTGCTTCCCAGGTTCTTGTCGACTCTATGAATTTAGATTTAGACCAACCGACATTAGTAAAATTGATTAATTTCTTCTCTTTCACACAACCGTGCATTACAGAAACAGCCATTCATTTCTATTTCCAAATATGCTGTGGCCTATATAGTAGTATAAGTCTGCTGAATAGTCAAGAAGAGTCATTAAATTAATCATAAACATTTCATGCAAGCCAGAAAATATCGTTGTTTGTGACATATTATTCTAGGTCTAGCCTTCCTTGGATTTACCGCACCGTACCTATTTAACAACATCTTATGAGCTAGTGCTCAACTAAAATTGCTATTTATGGCAAGGATAAACAAGTGTTTAATATCTTACCTATACTTTTCAACACCTCCTTAGAATAACTGGACTAATATTACCGGTAACTGAAAAAAACTATGGAAAGGCTACTCAACGCAAAAGCGAGCAGTTGAGTACATCTGATATTCATCCGATCACTGGGGATCCACCTACAGCTGACTAACTTGACTGTTACGTCGTGCAGAAGTCTGCGTTCATTGGCCCATGATACCGGAAAAGCAGAGAAAATAGGACAGATGGTAACACATATTTATTGTAGTAAAAGCGTCTTTTCTGTAAAACGTGCAACTTTTGGAAGTGGGAACAAGGCAATATTTGTTACTAAATTTCTAAGGAACATTTTAAAATCATTTTCAGGTAGTTACCTGATGTGCGCTACGAAACTGAAAGATAAATGGCCTCGGCTCGCGGCCTATATGGTATCACAAATTAAATGTATGAGCGTGTCTATTATCTATATAAGATTACCTAATTCGATTAAATAAAAGTATCAAAATATTTTTATGTCAAAATTTTTTTTTTCAGCAATATCTAAAAAACCTTTGAAGATTGAACAAATAAAGTAGTTTTTTTGCGTAGCGAGGGAGGAATAAAAAGTTTCAAAATATGCAAAAGGGAGAGTGTAAAGAATAGGAACATCTGATTTAAACGCTTGCAAACCCTCTGTCTGAACTATATCTTACACATTCTTTCTATATACTGATATAGCAAAATTTAAGTACTTGTTAAAACCATATTTTATAACTGCTAAGGATTAAACTTAGTCTGTTTTCGATTTTATTTTGTCGAGAACTTTTATAACTGTTATTAAAAGAAAAAAGTACATGGACGTTAATTTGAAGCAAATCATCATGGACCGTGAGAACTTGTGATGAATCGATTTCCCACAATCGTCAAACTTGTCATACAGGTCAAAGAAGACCACATGAGAGAGATATAGCAAGAAAAAATTATCAGCTCTAAATTATCTAAATGCTTGAAAACGAACATATAATCTGCCATCGAAACTAAACGAAACATGTTATTGAATGAATGAATCATCAATATTTACAACTTTCCAATCGGAAGTTTTTTTTTTTCAGGTTGTCTCATATATCACATACATTACACGTAACGCTTTGTTTAAGTATGCAAAATGACATTTGTGGCACATCCAAATGTGAATATCAGAGTTCACTCAGTTTGTTTGTTCGAATAATAAGATACCACACAAAAGATTTCTGAGTGATTCAAGAGTATTGCTGCACACACAAACATGTTTCTGTAACCTTCCACCTGACCACGATTGGATTGTTAACGTGTCATATATGTAGTGCCAAGAATATGTTTATAAACCTACTCAATATACAAATACAGGCATTAAGCTATTTGCTGTTGGGGAATTCCCTTCACGGTTCAGATTGATCACGCGTTTCGGCACCCTAGTAACGTAGCAAGCTAGCCTAGCAAGGCATTCGCAGCTTACAGCCGAGGAAATTGTAGCAGTTTTATTTGATTCTGAATTGTATGACAAGCCTGATAGTGAATCTTACACATGCGAAGCAACGTTTGTGTACTGAACTAGATTGTTAGACGTCAATCTGGAGTCTGAACTAAGGCTAATGGTATCCAGTCAGGAGTCATTAAATTGCTACTATGCTTTGCAAACTTTTATAGAATAAATTCATCAAAATATTCGACATTTTATTACACTTTTGGGGACAAGAAAATGGGGGCGACCGCCCCTCCCCGACTTTCGATTTTTTTCAAAATTGTGCAACCATTATGCAATTTGCTACAATATATCTGCTCAAGAATAGGTCCCCCGAAAGAGAAAAATCCGTTCAAAATGCGTATATTATACTTCCAAGTAGTCCTACATACTTCATAATTAGGCAGAGTGCACCTCGCATGGGTCAAATACGCGGTTATGACGTCATAAAAGCAAAAAATCGCGCGCCGAAGGTGCGCTTATCAACCCCCTGGAGGCCGTATTGAATACAAATAAATGCAATGTGGCCGCCAATAGCAAAAAGGTTGTGCACCCTTGGACTTGACCTACCACACTTCAAAAGAAGCCGTCTAAACCCATTTTCACTAGAAGAACCATAACACTGTAAAATATTTGATAGAAATTACCCCTCAAGGCATCATATCTTCCATTTGAAAGAGCTGTGGAGGCAGATATATTTTTTACTCTAAATTATGGAATGTTACTTCCAGGTTATCTTATCCTTGCCAATAGATATCTTGATGTTGGTGACTCCAATTGACCCATGCATGCCACACTATTCCTACGTGTAACCTACCGGAAAAATTAGCAGTTGGAGCCTTCAGACCTTGAAAACAGTCGAATCTGAGCACGATGGATTCATGTGAAACACGTAATATGCATTTATAAGCAAAAATATCCCATCCTGAGCAGCACTGATCTACAACCTCCTGCCTATGTAATCAAAACATTAGACAAATTGGTGTACTGTATGCATTCACAAATCTTTGCGAATCAAGTGTGCCTTTGGAATAAGAAAAATTTAGCATTGAAATGGTCAACCTCAATATAAACCTGGTATCTGCAGATAAAACCAATTGTTTTTTTTTTAAATAAATTTTTGATTTGCTTCATTTTTCAAATATAGTTCATAATTACTGTAAAGTGTGTCATACATCTGGTACCATGAATACCATTTGCAAATCAGCTTGGGTAACACCCCTCTCAAATAAAATTTTAGACTCTTAAGTCATATCTTATAATATTCTTTGAACAAAAGGTTGCGGCTAGCCGGCTACCTATCAGAACTTTCTTTCAGATCACAAAGTCGCAATATTACGCCTCGCTAAGTTCCATTTGCAATTGTATTTGGTTGTAGTATCGGTGTTCAACCCTAGACTGGAACCTCCAGTACCAGACCCACCGAAACAATTTTTTTTTCTTGATAGGGCCGTCCGTATTAAAGTTGCTTTCGTTCAAGCACAATGGACACTTTATCTCCACCAATCCACAGTAATCACAAGTTACTTTGTCATTACGATAAGCCTGAATAAATGTATACTGAGGATGTATTATTAAGTCACACAAGCTGAGGTCTTGTGCCACTGTCGTCTTGTTGCAGCTTATACTTTGCCATCCATCTATTCCATGGTCACATCCATATCTGTAATATATTGGATACGGAGTCATTCGATATCATGATTCTGCACTAGCTTTGTAATAATTGTAGAGTTTTCATAAAATCTAACGGTCAAGTGGTGAAAACTATGTCCATGTCCCACCACGAACACTAGTCGTAAATGAATTTGATCCCGGGTAGTTTATCTTTTTTACCAATGACAATAAAAGGACATTTTGGATCAGTTGTACAAGCACCTTTAGAATAGGATTTATCTGGGGGAGAATTGCAGGCGCAACAACTAAATCATATGGCGAACCACAGTCTCTCGTACAATTACCATTCTATTTCCGAATTAGTTAGCCAGTTATTCGTTTTCAGAAGCATGGACTTGATGGTGGGGGATGTCGTAACCGACCAGCGGTCGTGTGAACCACCTTCAGTGGGAAGAGAGCTGCAATCCTCTCGCACATAACTATCCCCGCATGGGATTGGAACCTATGAAACTACCAGGGTGATCAGAGATGCGGTGGCGAGCGTATTCCTAGATGGCGAATTCAATTGAATTCTGGTTATTTTTGCATGACCACTGGCGTTAAACTACAGTTATCTATTCAACTTTTCACACTTTCTAATAGATTACCTGCTAACTAGGGAAACAATATCTTATGGCAATTGATGACTAATTCAGTAGTTCCTTACACAAGTCAAGTGGACACGAAAGTAAGCCTACGCCTACCAATAACAGTAGTTTGTCATCTGCTTTCCATTGAAATGGGGGAGCTTATGAATATTTAAAGAAATTGATAACGGCACATTATCACTCACCATCAACGAAGTGCTGTCCGCAAACAGTGAAACACAAGCGAGATGACTCCATATTGGTACACACACTTCACACCGAATTTTCATACATAGGTCTTAGACTGCATTTTTTGAGCTACTGTTTAGGCTGGTTGCCAAAGACAATGAGGCAGGGATTAAAGGTATATTGTTAGGCCATAGGAGCTATCAATAGGCATAGGCAACCTAGGCTAATAGATCCTCATTCGATTTTCCATGAAGCCTATTTGGATATTGTTAGCGGATATTCCCGACCGAAAAGATAAAAAGCTATAACAATTTAGGCTAGCCAGGCACACTATTCAACTTCCCTGCTTGCCTCAGCTAACCATAACACTGCGGCCAATTCAATGACGTTAGTGATGTAACATGTCAAGAGATTTCGCTGGTTCTTTTTATGACGAAATAACACCAAGTCAAGACAGTTTATTATTTCAAACCAGTAAAGAACAAAAAGCATGCAAAAATATAAGGGGAAAATTATATTTACATTAAGATACTTACCGTACATAAGTATTTCATTAGAGCTAGACGATTAAAAGAATTTGTAGCTCTATCATAAACACCCATTGTAGATAAGATGAGACGCCCACACTCCCAAGTTCTAGGAAACTTGTCATAGATAGATAGTGCTTTAAAGTCATTCAGATATCAACTTAAACAATATATTCACACGTATTTCTAACTGTTCAAAGATCAACTGTTAGATCAGACGAATTTTCATTTCACTAGATGACAGATGTGTACCATGCGGCCAGTCGAAATCAGTAATGTATCTTCCATTCAAATTTGAATGATAGCAAGAATTATGCCACCATGCTCCATGAAAATGCGCAGCACAATTCACAGCCGTGTGTTTATCGTTATCCATGTCTAAAGTTGTGAAACCGTGACCACTATGGTAAGTCATACGATCATCAGTGTCGCCAGAATATCCTGACACTGTCAGTCTGAACTTGGAATTTTCATTTCCTACTGCAAAAGAACTGAAAATAAAATAGTTCTATAAGGCATGGGTGAAATAAAAAACAATTTAATAATGATTTTCAAAAGGCATCGAGATTTAATAGATAGATAAATTGGAGAACCTAATCATTAAGAATTGTATATATACTTTAATTTCTTCTACCTATATTCAGCGTATTTTACGGAACCACTTTGAAACACGAGATCAATTCGAAGTTGAAAGTTTCCATGACTGGTAAGTTGATGTAAAGTCCTCAGACCTACAAAACAAAAACAACAGGGAATTAATACAATATTTTCTTTTCACTGCGGGATTCCCTTTTGCAAGCAGTTTCACTGACGGCTTGGTTTAATTGATTCAGTGCTCGAGTCAAAGGCATTCATAGGTTCAATTGGAAAGCGTTTTATAACACGTAGCACGTTGCGTCAACAGTCGAGCCGCGATTTGAATAACTAAATCCGTTCGATTAAAAAAATGTTGAATAGTCTACGACGCAAGATGGAAATTCCAGGTGTTCCTGCGACTCAGATTTATTCATTTCGCTGATATTTACAATACTCAAACTTGACTTGTGACTCGAGAGTACAATGACTCTACTTGACTTGCGATTCGGGGGTGCAGCGACTTGACTTGGGACTCGAAGCTGGGAAATTACTAAAAATCGGACTGTCCGCAACTGAACTTAACAACCCACTATATTACAATTGTACACCGCACAACTCACCGAGCCAAAACTCTCCATCTCTTTCGCCAAATCCTCTTGCATAAGTTTCCCAATCTCCGGAGAAGTCGACAGACCCATTGTATCTCTTTTGGATAATCTACAGAAAATGGTAATTAATTGGTTGAACTAATTATCGCCTGGGATTTGGCTGACAATGTTTAAATCAGTTCTTTACTTATTTTTATCATATGTTTCGATAACGACACATAATATACTTTGCCAATTATTAAATTTGAGTTTGTTCTTGTTTTCTTTTCCACGTTTTCATATTTTGGGGTTTAGTATTGCAAGGCAAATATATTCTTTTATGAGTATATAAATGAATGATTCGGGCGCATAATAAAGTTGTTACGTACGATTCAAATCTAACTAGAGCAGTTGGGGATTTTATGCATAAATCAAATCTAGTTGATAATATAAAATAATAATTGAGAACAAAATAAACTACAGTATATTGCATCTTTAGATTATCTTTAATTGCGAAATGATAATGAAAGATAATACCAGATAAAAGTCAAGTATATATTAATATTGACCGATCATACTTACGGTCCAACCATCACTGTCCACCTGATACAAGTTACAGTTCACCAAAACATATGTCGGGTTCCCAATATGTTTAAACGGATATATTTTGGTCAACTCTTCAGAATTTCCATCGTCTTTATTTAAAAGCATTTGATATTCTGCGCAGTTTGAGGGGAGTGCAATCAAACTTAGCTGGTCTAAATTGATCAATGAATCAGTTATTGGACACGTTTAGTGCCCAAAACGATCGTTTCAAAATTTTGTTGTTATTGTTATTTTCTTTCGTCACTATCATTAAAAAATCGCTTTTCTCTTCGAATACTGGACCAATTGCTTTGAAATTTTCAGTGGTTAAAGATAAAAAAAAAATTTTCTCCAGAAGGCTATTACTTTTTTTTTGGCTATGACGTCATCAAAATTATGTGACTCTACGTGTCCATATATTTGAGCATAGCTCTCTTGTTCTATTTACAAACGTTCCTTCATCGCTTAATTTATGCCTGACTATTGTCCTCAACCACATGACGTTGGCATAATTAATATGCTACCTTTAACTTCTTTCCGTCTCTGGTCCGCTTCTCGATCCTGGCTAGTCGTCACTCTCACATAGTTTCTCAGTACAAATCTTTCTCCGCTGTGGGATTCGAACACACCCTTATTGTATTACCGTATAGGATCAAATTATTGCTTCATTATCAGATTTTTATTGAAGTTAATTAAACTCGGCGACAAGGCTAATCACTTTACTGATTTCTCAACCATTGAATGTTTGCTTGCTTTGTGCAAATAATATGATATCGTCTTTTCAATTGCGGTTTGTTTAGGTGTATTTCTTACAATGTACCCAACAATCTATTCGAGTTGTAAAAATCACTGTATTCAAGTATTTCATTAGAGCTTCCTAGACGACTAAAAGAATTTGTAGCGCTACCATAAACACCCATTGGAGACAAGATAAGACGTGCACACTTCCAAAATCTAGGAAGCTTTTTATAGAGAGTCCGATAGTGCTTTAAAGTCAATCAGGTATCAACTTGAACAATATATTCACACGTGTTCTTAACTTTTCAAAATCTTGTTTTATTTGTTTAGTTTTGACATAGGAAGCAATGTTAGATCAGACGAATTTTCATTTCACTAGATGACAAATGTGTGAGATGTGGCCAGTCGAAATCAGTATTGTACCTTCCATTCAAATTCGAATGAAAGCAAGCATTATACCACCATGCTCCATGAAAATGCGCTGCACAATTCAGAGTCGTGTGCTTATCGTTATCCATATCAAAAGTTGTGAAAACGTGACCACTATGTTGAGTCATTCGATCATCAGTGTCGCCAGAATATCCTGACACTGTCAGTTTGAACTTGGAGTTTTCATTTCCTACTGCAAAAGCACTGAAAATAAAATAGTTCTACGTATAAGCCACGGGTAAAATTAAAAAAAAATCATTAATGCTTTTTGAATAGCATTGAGATTTAAAAGATAGATAAATTACAAAACCCAATTTTCAAGAATTTTATGTATATATTATAATTTTTTCTACCTATATTCTGCGTATTTAACGGAACCACTTTGAAAGTTGAGATCAATTCGAAGTTGAAAGTTTCCATGACTGGTAATTTGATGTAAAGTTCTCAGACCTTCAAAACAAAAGCAATAGGAAATTAATAATATATTTCCCTTTCTCTGCGGAATTTCTTTTAACCAACAGTTTCACTAACAGCTTGTCTTAATTGATTCAAATCTGTTTGCTAACATTTTTGTCGATAGGGTAATGCTATTTATGAATCTTGACGAGTTAGGGTAGTTTGTAACTATCTTTACGTACTCTTTTCACACTTTGACGCGAGCATGGAACATTGTTCGAAGGAATCCAGTCTAAACAACTAAGAATATGGCATTTCACATTACATTGATAAAAAGCAATGTTGGGGGAGACTCAGGTCAATAAATCTACTTGATTCATTTTTTAAAAGATTCGGAGTGTCCGAACAATTAGACTTTTCAGCATTTTTTTTTTTAATTTTCATCGGCACAGGGCATTCATAGGTACAAGGGCAAGCGTATTCTAACGCGTAGAACGTTGCGGCAACCGTCTAGTCGCAACTCGCAATTTTGATAAATAAATCCGGTTAGGTAAAAATAAATTTGGATACAAAGCAAAATGGAAATTTCAGTTGGTATTGTGGCTCAAATTTATCCATTTCGCTGATGTTTGCAATATCTACAATGACTCAGACTCGACTTGTGACTCGATAATACAATGACCTGCCTGACTTGTGACTCAGGGGTTTAGAGACTTGATTTGGGACTGGAAGCGGCTAAGACTAGGACCGGCAGCTACTCGACCTAACAACCTACTCTATTACGATTGTACATTGCCTTACTCACCGAGCCAAAACTCTCCATCTCTTACTCCAAATCCTCTTGCATAAGTTTCCCAATCTTTGTAGAAATCGACCGACCCATTGTATCTCTTTTGGATGATCTTTATAAAAATTTAATTAATCGATTGAACTGATTTTTGCCTGGAATTTAACTGACAAAGTTTTAAACATATAACTACCTATTTTTTTATCACATTTTTTCAACAACGACACATATATATAATATAATTTGATAATTAAATAATTCGAGTTTGTTCTTCCACATTTCATAAATGCATAATTTGAATTACATCTATAAATCTTTAAGTGCGAAATGATAATAACGATAAAAAACTAGAATATCGGTCAGAGACCGAAGACTTATCGATCGAAAGTTAGGGGATCCCCCAAAACAGCGCTCTCACTCCATAGTGACACCTTGTGTCCCATCACTAATTAAGAAATAACTCGCTAATTATACTACATAATTCATCCAAAATCAATAGGCTTCTGGTACGACATATAATGAATTCACATGCAAAATTTGGAGCAGATTCAATCTCGCTTTCGTGAGATATTGCGTGCATCTAACAGACAGACAGACAAACAGACAGACAAATACCTATCAACATACTTACCAATTAAAATCGATAAGTAACAAGTATAAATATTGACCGATCATACTTACGATCCAACCATCACTGTCCACCTGATACAAGTTACAGTTCACCAAATCATACTTCAGGTTTCCAATATGTTTAAACGGATATACTTTAGTCAACTCTTCAGATCTCCGATCATTTTTATTTAAGAGCATTTGATATTCTCCGCAGTTTGAGGGAAGAGCGATCAGATTCAGCTGGTTTAAATTGATCAATGAACTAGTTTATGTTGCTTTTATACTCTTAGTTATACCCATTGAACTGAACAATAGTTATACGTGAAAGAGGGAAACTATATGCTACATTGCTATCAGTTTAGTGCATTCTTTATTGTTTTGTTGCTTTACAACCCACCATGTAACTTTTCAAACTCCGTGTTCATCGTTTTCCTCAAACTTCTCATCGCCTCCTCGTCGGCAATATCGCATTGACAAGAATTACCCTTTTCGCCCCTTTTCCCCTTTTCACCAGCTGCACCTCTCTTGCCAGGTCTTCCTTGTGAAGCTTGAGCACCAGTATTTGGTCGTGTATAGCCATCGTCCCCAGGTTGACATAGAGTCGTTGTTGTCGTACAAGTGTAAGGAGGAGACAAAGTTTGTTTCTGAGCATGAGTACATGCAACGCACAAAATTAGGAGTATGATATTAAATGCTTGAGAATCACCCATTTTAGTAAATCTAAATATAGTATCGCAAATTAAATGTATGAGAGTGTCTATTATATATCTAAGATTACTCAATTCGTTCAAATAAAGGTATTCAAATATTTTAAAGTCAAAATTTCTTTATTTTCGGCATTATCTAAAAAATCATTAATGATTGAACAAATGAAGTAGTTTTTTGCATAGCGAAAGAGGAATAAAGAGTTCCAAAATATGCAAAAGGAAGATATTTATAGGTAAAGGTTAGGAACCACTGATTTAAACGCTTGCAAACTCTCTGTGTGAACTATATTTTACACATTCTCTCTGAATACCAAAATTCAAATACTTATTGGAACAATATTATATAAATGCCAAAGATTAAACGAAGTCAGTTTTCGATTCTATTTTGTCGAAAACTTTTATATTAGTTATTAAAAAGAAAAAAAATACATGGACTTTAATTTAACGCAATTCTTCATGAACCGTGAGAACTTGCGTTGCGTCGTCGAGTTCCCACAATCACCAAACTTGTCATATATGCCATTACACATGAAGACAAAATGACATTTGGGGCACATCCAAATGTGAATATTAGTGTTCAGTCAGTTTGTTTGTTGGAATAACAAGGTACCACACAAACTATTTCTGAGTAATTCAAGAATGTTGCTGCATAATAACACAAACATATTTCTGTAACCTTTCCCCCGACCAAAATCATTTCCGTAGACAAGCATAAAACAAATAATTGACATGTTATGAATTATGGCCCTTGCATGTCACTTGATTGTATAACAATTTCATGTATAACATCTACTGAATAAGTTGTCACTTTCCCATCCTGAAAGTGAAATTCGAGAATATGCTGGATTATATTGCTAAGTAATCATATATCCAAAGACGAAAGATTTGTACATGTAGTGCTGCAATTCCCTAGCAATTAGTCTGATACTTTCAGTTCAGAATTAATATTCTATATTATATAACCATAGGAACTCTTCACGTTCTCAGCTTTAAAACTGGAGACTAGTTTTTGCTTTCGGAAAGCTTTATAATATATGTTCAGTGATACCGATTTTGAACACAAAAAGAAAAAAGGTGAATGTCTGCGATTCATCCAAGTGTGAATAGAAATAAAAACAGCAAACATAGGCCTAAAATTTGAAATATTAGAGCAATAAAACAAACTTAAGAATGTGATCTTTAGAGATCGTGTGATTTTTTGGGAAAATGGTGATTTAGATTTAGGAATAGGATGATTGCTAATGAATAAAAATTCGCTTCCTCATTTCAGAATAAAACTGTAACTTAGCCTGAAGAACGCGTTCTTTTTGTGTTGTTGACTAAGTTCGTGCATTCGTCTATATCAGGGGTGGCCAACACGTCAATCACGATCGCCATGTCTCGAATAGTTGACAACGTCTGATGAAGTGAATTTAATAAAACATCCCAAACTGGCCTTTACCCAGTTTCATGTTACGACCGTTGTGAGTTTTAAAACAGGAAGAACGCAGTAGAGATAGAGCATATTATTACCTACCAAATGCAAGTTTCGCAGCTGCCAATGTTCAGGGAATGAACGTGCCGAATATCGTGTGTTTTGACTGACAAACTGCTGTGTCGAAAATGTCGTGTCCCACTTGTGTCACGTGTCCTACTTGTTCCACGTGTCCCGCTTGTTCTACGTGTCTCACTTATCAAACTTGTTCCACGTGTCCTACTTACTGGCCCCACTTGTCCCAAATGTTCCACATGCCGCGTTTGTCACCACGTATTTTTTTCTAAACGCATATATCGCCAGTCAAATTTTTTATTGTAAATGATCTGTCATAATAGTAATTACAATCCTCAGTTTAATCGGGTATAGTTCACCTACACACCAATTTCCACAACTTTAACGAATTGCTCTATTTGATTCATTGTTCCAGTGAAGTTTTCCCAAGTGCATACAATCTATCAAAAAAAAAATTTTCAAATAAAAACTAACTTGTTGAACAGATAAATTATAAAAATCCTCTCCAGCTGAATATTTCTTAAATATATATATCAAATATGGATAAACAATATAATGAGGACCAGTGGGGCGCGTAGTACAAAGGGGACACGTAGGATTATTGGGACACATGAGACAAGTGGAACAAATGGGACAAGTAGCACACACGGAGCAAATAAAACACGTGGAACACGACATTTTTGAGACACCCCTGACTAACGGTCCTAAAATAAATTTTGCAGTATGCAAAGGTTGGTTTCATTCTAAGAGTAGTGTGATAAATTTCATTTGCAACGGTTGTAGTGGCATCAGAATGCTTATTTTTAAGTCTAAGCGAGCGAAAAATCGGAAATTGTAATTAATTACTGAAATTTGATCAGTCATGTAACATTTGGGGTTTGAGATTATTTATTTTCTGGTGCATAAAAATAATACATGAATAATTAGCAAGGTTGTTTGAGGTATTTTAAAACGCACGACTCAAATTAGACAGCCTTAGATCTGAATTGTACTATTTGAATAAATCTTAAATAAGTGATGGGACATTTACTCCAGGTACGATTACATAAACAAATTAGGCTTATAGGCAGAAGTGGAATTTTCATATGCGTGTGTGACGTGCGTAGTTATCTGCATATTCAGTAATCATTCGTTTTTGCGTATGACCTCATTGCCGATAAGTCGATCACGAGCTATTTTGAAGATTTTAGTCGATCGCGGTCGAAAGCAGATTGGCCATCCCTGGCCTATAGTTATAACCGCAGTGGCCAACCTGCTTTTGACCGCGATCGACTAAAATCTTCAAAATAGCTCGCAGGCAGGCTATTTGAAAGGGGGCTTCCAAAAATTAACATACCGCAGTGCTGAAATTTGCTGTAGCGAATTTTTTTAAAAAGCACCACAATCGCTTGAAGAGCCGGCGATTTCCGCTGTTATTGATGTTTTTGTTCCGGAAAATATACAATCTACGTCCGGTAATTAACCTCAAAAATGCATTACCATAATATTTGCATTCAACCTAAAACCAACTGCGTTAATTTGTAATGTCCTCCTACAATCCTACGGGATACAATTCATTTAAGTGAGATAGCTCTCACTTACGTAGTTCATCTTCAGTGCGTGCGGTTCGTTCCTGTCGGTAACTAAACAAAATGCACAACATTTTTGAAATTTATAGCAGCTAAAATAGCGTTAAGACAAAACTTTCATCTTTTGCGGAGCTTTCAAAACCAAATTTACGATCATTTTTTTGTTTAAATTGTGGTGTGCATGATATTGTTTTAATTTGTAAATGAGCGAGATGCGCAGTCTAAATTATGACAGTTTTTCGTCGTCAAAACGAAAATTCAAATGTCTAACGCAGGGGTGGGCAACTTCTCTAGTCGGCGGGCCAGGTGTGGGAAAATGAAGTACTCGGCGGGCCGGATGATTACAAAAAATTCTTCGGTATACAATCTTTATTAGATGCTCATGGTGATGCTCTGGAATATTATACTGTCTATCTTGATACATTCTGGTTTAAACAAAGAAATATTCATAACCTATTATTTGGATGGATTTGGATTAATCAAGAAAAGCATGCAGAGCGGAAAAAGCACGCATGCTGATCTCCAGGTTTCTAAATCTTGCGAGATTTGACGGAGCGCTTTCACGATGAATCGGAACCGAAAAAGCAAAAAGTGATTACTCAGCGCCAAGACGTCGCCGGGCCATTAATACCGCACTTATCAAACACCAATATGACGGCGGAGGAGAAATTGCGTAATAAACCAACATAACTTTGACCTATTAATCAAGAAAAGCATGCAGAACAGTAAAAGCACGCATGCTGATTTCTTCTGAATCTTGCGAGATTTGACGGAGCGCTTTCGCGATGAACCGAAAAGTATGATTACTCGGCGCCAAGACGTCGCCGGGCCATCCCGCACGTATCCAATAGCAATGTACACGGCGGTTTTTGGGAAGGTAGAACCCTGGATTCTTTTATTTCCGACCTCTGATATGGTGAAAAAGCGGTTTTCAGCCGTGACACTATTGCTATCAAAACAACTGAATCGCCTTAATTTTAGATATAATAAGAAACTCGCTGAAGAACACCAAGCTCATCCATCTCAATCAAAAACACTATAAACTATGATTTGTCTCCGTATTTGGTCTGTAATATATTCGTTTCAGACTTTCAATTTTTTTGCAGTGCCGGGGGGCGATGAAGGTGTATAAACAACTGTAGGGGGGCGATGGTACAAAAAGTTTGGGAACCACTGGGTTAGACCACCGTACGACGTACGTACTGACGTAATAGGCTACATCCATGTTGCACTGTTATGTCTATGGATACTTAACACAGCATAAACTTGATTCGTATTTCCAACAAGTCTCAATTTTTGTCATTACTGCAGTACACGGACAAAAGCTAGAATGCAGGAATATAAATACAATACTGCAATATGCCCTCTCCCAGTCTATACAGATCTAGGCTTTCTGGCTTTGAAATGTTGATATCTAATTACGGAATTAAGATACGGGAAAAATATCAACAGACGCTTCGTGTCGATCGCAGATCTACGGGGAACAAGAGACTGGGAGAACAGAAGAAGGGGTGATGTTGAACCATTACTCTGTTACTGCATTGCAGCATTAATACACTGTAGCTTGAAGAATATGGCTTTGAAATATACAGGTATCAATTAATTATATGCCTATATAATTATTTACGGATTAGATTTATATACAGAATTTGAACATATTTGATATTACATATTTAAAAATTGTTTCAAGCGTTATTGGGAATGATTAAATATTTGATTTAGGCCAGCCCAATTTACTAGTACATGCTTTGAGTTTGTAAAATTAAAAATGCACATAAATTACTCATCATACAAGTATAATGAAGTTCGGGTATGTATACATTGCTTTCAACAGTGTTTCAGATGGTTACTTACAGTATAGTTCGCCTATTGTTAATTGGATTAAGGCCGGTTTTATATTCAATTTTTCTTACTTGTATTTTAGTATGTTCCTTGCATCAATTCGTCAGTTGGCAGGTCGACGAAACTCGATGAACGTGCAAAGATCGTTGAAAAACATTAAAATAATTGATAAAACCTGCAAAACTAC